TGAGGAGAGGTGAAATGTGAGGCAGGAGTGGGCAAGATGAGGGCCACCCAGGTGGTGTGCACTTTCCTCTTTTATTTCACATACTACTAGTAATTTTGATGTTTCAGGAAAAGATTCAGATACCACCAAGAATGTTTCTTTATATATATTGATTGATCGATTTCAGAGAGGAATGGAGAGGGAAGAGAGAAACATCAATGATGAGAGTCATTGATTAGGTGCCTCTTACATGCCCCACACTGGGGATTGAGCCTGCAGCCAGGGCATGTGCCCCAACTGGGGATGGAATCATGACCTCCTGGTTCACAGTGTGATGCTCAACCACTGAGCCACACCGCCTGGACTATTTCTTTTTTTTTTTTTTAATATATTTTATTGATTTCTCACAGAGAGGAAGGGAGAGGGATAGAGAGCCAGAAACATCGATGAGAGAGAAACATCGATCAGCTGCCCCCTGCACCCCCCCTACTGGGTATGTGCCTGCAACCAAGGCACATGCCCTTGATCGGAATCGAACCCAGGACCCCCGAGTCCGCAGGCCGACGCTCCATCGATTGAGCCAAACCGGTCAGGGCTGGACTATTTCTTTAGATGTTAAAGCTTATACTACCTGATAAGAGGTCTTAGCAGTTCTTCTAGATTAGGAGTCAGTAAACAATTTCTTGACAGGCTATATAGTAAATATTCTAGACTTTGTGGGACAAGAAACAAAATTGAGGCTATTCTTAGATATTTAGTCCAGTCATTTAAAAATATAAATATCATTCGGAGCCTAAGAGGGTGGCCTGCAGGCTAATCCTGGTCTAGACCACCTTCTCAGCCCCTTCTTTCAGCATGATATATCCCCCCACACTGCCATGAATTGAAATCCAAGTGCCATGAGCTGGCCACACACTTTCAGAAAACCAACACGAATGTGTCTAGGTACATTTACATCAAGAGACATTGTGAGCCAGCAGTGCCAGTCCTGTTGGCAGCCTCATACCAGTGTTGCCACTGTATGTGTCAGGAGAAGCATTACCAGATGAAGAGGTGACTCTTTAAAGTGATATCCAACAAAAATTTTATAATCAAATTAAAATTGGGCAAAGGACTTTAATAGACATGTCTCCAAAGAGAATATACAAGTGACCAACAGCACATGAAAAGATATAGGCATCAGAGAAATGAAAATCAAAACCACAATGAGATACCACCTCATATCCATTACAATGACTCTTGTTTGTTCATTTGTTTTTATTTTTAGTTTTTTTGTTAATTTTCACCTGAGGATATTTTTCCAATGATTTTTTAGGGAGAGTGGAAAAGAGAGGGCAAGACAGAGAGAAACATCGATGTGAAGCACATCGATTGGTTGCCTCCTGCACAAGCCCTGACCAGGCCCTAGGCCAGGGAGGAACCTGCAATGAAGGTATGTGCTCTTGACCCGGAATCGAACCTGGGACCCTTTGATTCACAGGCTGAGGATCTATACACTGACCCAAACCGGCTAGGGCTGTTTTGTTTTGTTTTGTTTTTAATATATTTTATTGATTTTTACAGAGAGGAAGGGAGAGGGATAGAGAGTTAGAAACATCGATGAGAGAGAAACATTGATTTAGCTGCCTCCTGCACACTCCCCACTGGGGATGTGCCCGCAACCAAGGTACATGCCCTTGACCAGAATCGAACCCGGGACCCCTCAGTCCACAAGCCAACGCTCCATCCACTGAGCCAAACCAGTCAGGGCTGTTTTTTATTTTTGTTTTTATTTTTTTAATTTTATTTATTTTTTATTTTTTTTAATAGAATTTTTAAAAAATATATATTTTATTGATTTTTTACAGAGAGGAAGAGAGAGGGATAGGGAGTTAGAAACATCGATGAGAGAGAAACATCCATCAGCTGCCTCTTGCACATTCTCCACTGGGGATGTGCCTGCAACCAAGGTACATGCCCTTGACCGGAATCGAACCTGTGACCCTTGAGTCCGCCCGCAGGCCAACGCTCTATCCACTGAGCCAAACCGGTTAGGGCTGTTTTTGTTTTTTTTAACCAAAAACAGAAATATTATAACAAATGTTGATGAGGATGTGGACAAATTGGAGCCCTTGTGCACTGTGGTGGGAATGTAAAGGTGTAGCCACTGGGTAAAATAGTCTAGCGACTCCTCAAAAAGTTAAACATAAAATGACTTTGTGACCCAGTAGCTCCACTTCTGGGTGTATAACCAAAAGAAATGAAAGCAGGGTCTCTAAGAGATATTTGTACACCCGTGTTCACAGCAGCCAAAAGGTGGAAGCAACCAAGTGTCCACTGACATATGGCTAGATAAACAAAATGGGGTGAATCTATGTAGTGGAATATTCGATTTAAAAAGAAAGGAAAATCTAACAACATACTACATCATGGCGCTCCACATACTACACAAGGAAGACATTATGCTGAGTTAAATAAGCCAGACACAAAAGGACAAATACCATATGATTCATTTATATGATGTTCCTAGAGGGGTTAAATTCAGATAGACAAAATAAAATGGTGGGTGCCGGGGGAGGCCAATGGGAAATCAGTGTTTAATGCGAACACAGTTTGGGAAGATGGAAAGTTTTGGAGATGGATGGTGAGAATGGTCACACACGAATGTGAATATATTTAAATGCCCTTGAACTGTATACTTAAAAGTAGTTAAGATGGTATATTTTATGTTAAGTGTATCATATATGTATTTTTTAAAGAAGGTAAGCGATTTACAAAGGTATTTGCGATGTTACAGCTTTGGGGGTTTTTTTTGCATAAAATATAAAAGTTGATTTTGATTTTTCCTCTTTAAAAAAAATGTTTTTCAAACAAAGCATACAGTCCTATATAATAAAAGCCTAATGTGCAAATTGTCCCCTCGGGCGGTCGTTCGACTGGGAGACCAGGAGTTCGACCACTCACTATGATGTACGCTGACCACCAGGGAGCAGCGCGGACCATAGCGGGCGTTGGCGATGCTGCGCTGGCAGCTGGTGGCAGTGGAGGTGCTGCCGGCCCCCATGGGCCCTGATAAGAGTGGGACTGTGGTGGGATGGTGGAGCAGATGAGCAGGCGGCGTTAGGCCATCGCCCTGCAGATGGTGACCAGCGGCAGTGGGCAGGGCTGCTGCCCGTCTCCCAGGCACTGAGGGAGCCAGACTGGGGAAGCAGGGAGTGGGGGGGGGGGGGGACCGGTTGCCCCGTAGGTAGGATGGTGGAGCAGGTGAGGGGGCGGTGCCAGGCAAAGGCAGGGTGCCAGGTGGGGCTGTGAGGCTGGAGGCACAAGCTGGGGCTGCGCATCTGGGGGAACCAACTGGGGTCTGATCCCCACATGCCACCCCGAGGGACCCCACCCGTGCACAAATTTGTGCAGCGGGCCTCGTGTCTTCTTATCATTAACCTGGTTGCTGCCATCCTGAAAACATATTAATGTGGTGGCTGACACTGAAATAGGGTTCTGATCTGGGCTGAGACACATAGGTGTTCTTATGACAAGATGCTGACTTCCTGACACCCCAAATGTAATGCCCTTCTCATGAGAATAGCTGTCCTTAGGCTTGTACAAGTGATTCAGACAGAGTGTAGCACTGCTGGCTCAGGCTGTGTTGGCTCTGGTTTTTGGTCTCCCGGCTCTGGGTATCAGGGATTCTGCAAGGGAATGGGGCTGGTGTTTGCCCTGGGGCTCCTATGTTCCCTCTGTAGGCTTCCTCAACACACAAAGCTCCTGTTGCCTGACCTAGTCTTGTGTGGGCTGTGGCCCCTGGGAGGAGATGACTGGACTGTTGACTGCCACCTGAGGCTCCTGTAGGGATGATGCTAGGATTCATGTTCCCCTGGGGGAGCTGAGTCTGTGCACCCATGAATGGACTTGTGAGCTCGTCAGTAGTGCCTGTGAAATTCATGGCTTAGTTACTTAAAGTTACTTAGTTAAAAAAAAACACTGTGTTTTTGCTGTTATAACATAAAAGGTAATATATTTAGTAAGATTATTGACTGAATTCGGAAAGTTATTCTAACATTCAATTTCTAATTTGTAATCAAGAAAGGGCTGCCTTCCAGAGAGGATACTTGGATGGAGGAAGCCTGTTTACTAAGGCGATCACTGCTTTCCAGGGCTCACAACCTCCTTGGGAGGACCCTTCACTGTATGGGATCCCAGGTCCTCCGGCCTGACATTGTGCAGCTGTCCCCAGAGGGGGCCATAACTGGCTTGTAGAAGGTCCTCTTGCTTCTGTGGCCCTCAGTGATGGAAACGAAGCATTTCCCTCTGCATCCTGGTTGTCACTGTGGCTCCATGGGGGTTGGGTCTGTCTGCCCTGTTCAGTATGAATAGTTTTTTTTGTTACCCTCACCCAAGGATATTTTTCCATTTATTTTTTTAAAATATGATATCATTCCTTTTTTAAAAATATTTCTTATTGATTTCAGAGAGGAAGGAAGAGGGAAATAGAGATAGAAACATCAATGATGAGAGAGAATCATTGATTGGCTGCCTTCTGCACGTTCCCTACTGGGGATCAAGCCTGCAATCCAGGCATGTGCCCTTGACCAGAATCGAACCTGGGACCCTTCAACCCCTCTATCCACTGAGCCAAACCAGCTAGGACTCCATTGATTTTTAGAGAGAGGGAAAGATAGAAATATTGATATGAGAGAATACATCAATCAATTGCCTCCTGCGTGAGCCCTGACCAGGGCCCGGGCCAGGGAGGAGCCTGCAGCCAAGGTACGTGTCTTTGACCGGAATTGGACCCAGGACCCTTCAGTCCACAGGCCAACGCTCTACCCACTGAGCCAAACTAGCTAGGGTAGGTCTGAGTAGGTTTGATAGGGAAGGGGAGAGCGTGAAATGTCAAAGCAGAAGATACTGAACTGTCTCAAAGTGGAGAGCAGGCCAGCGCTTCATAGGAGGGTTGCCATGGCTACTTATTTGGGGAGAAGCCACATGCCCAATGCCTGAAGGCTGTAGGCTTGCATGGTGATGATGCTGTTCTGTGGTAGGTTGGAGGACCTGAGGGCATCCTGCAGAATGGGGCTGTGGATGACAGTGTGGCCAAGACCAGCCAGTTGCTGGCGGAGTTGAACTTCGAAGAAGATGAAGAAGATACCTATTACACAAAGGACCTACCAGTACATGCCTGCAGGTGAGCATCAACAGCAGAGGCATCCCAGAGACCGCTGTTGGTCACATGTCCTTGGGAATAAAGAGGTTGCTAGGCCAGTGTACATGTTACCAGACAGGAGGGTGGGCTCAGCACCTTCTGTCACCCCTGATTATTACAGCAATTAGGGAAAGGTTCCCCTCTTGGCCTTCCTCAGGTCCTGGGAGTGTTCCTGGTACCTGCCTCACTCACTGATCGGGAAGAACTCTTCTCATTGGGTGAGCATTTGGATTTATAGGGTAAATAGAGCCACTAAGATTTCTCTTACAGAGAGATTACTATTGGATTTCTTAAAATGTCTGCTTCCTGAAAAGTTGGAAGTGGACAGTGTGTAGACCTGTATATTGACCAAATTTGGAATTCTCATCGAGAGCAGGACCCATCCCTAACGTTTAGACTTATTCTTGCTTTTTTGTTACATGCACAAGAGGAAATTGAGACCAAAAGAGGTAAAATGATCTTGCTTAGGGCACTCAGCCAGTTGGGGCAGCTTTGAGCCTGGACTTCTATTCAGCCCTGCCTGCCCTTTGGGCACACTGCCCCCAGTGTCTACCCACCAAGGGACAGAGCACTGTATCCTCCCGCCCCCACTTCCCCCAGTTTACCTTATTTTAGCTCTTTGTTCACTCTCATTACAAATGTTTGTTTTTGATGTTTGTTAGTCCTCATTGGAGGATATTTTTTCCCATTGATTTTTTTAAAGAGTAGGAGTGGGGAGGGGGAGGGAAACGTCAACGTCAACGTGAGAGGAAGACATCACTTAGTTGCCTCCCACCCTGACCAGGGTCTGGGATTGAACCTACAACCCAGATACATGCCCTTGACTGGGAATCAAACCTGTGATCCTTTGGTGCATGGGCCGATGCTCTAACCACTGAGAAACACCAGCCAGGGCTCATTTACAAATGTTTTTCCATATATATGAGTGAGGTATTAGTGTTCCTGTTATATACACAGTTGCCAGTCCTGGTGAAGCTGCAAGTGGTTACAGTCTATATAACTCCTTGGTCCTCCCGGCTGTCCATGTATGGAGGGTTTGGTGGGAAGGTTCTTGGTTGAAGCACATTCTGGTTTGAGACCGAGTTTTGGCTTCATACACATACAGACTCTGTGGAGAGCCAGTGGTTTTGTTTTGGGTATGTTGACTTTTAGAAAAACAAGGTGGGAGGTATTGTGGTGGTGGACTCCCCTGTTGTGCTCTTTTGGAGCTGAGCTCTGTCACCCAGGAGCCTCTGCTGCTGGGTCTGAGTTGAGCGTTCCTGGGAGCATGGTGCCCTCTGCTGGAGTGTGAATAAAGCATGGTCACAGCTCACTTTCCAAGTGCCCAGAGCTACCTACGGACACCCCTTTCATAAGTTACATTCCTGAAACTGAAGGCCATAGGAATGACCAGGTTGCCTTTGGGGTGTTGGGCTCACTTGGCACCCCACACAGCACTTGCTCCCCACTTGGAAGGGGCTTTGCTGCAGTCTGCGTTATCTCTCAGTGTCTCGATAGTACCCAAGCTCCTTTCTGCATTCACAGGACCAGGAAACCTCAACAGTTAACTGATTGGATTTTGTTAGTAGGAACGTTGGGCTTGAGTATGTTTTTAATGAAAAACTTTAAAATGTTGTAAGAGGAAAAAATTTTACATTCTGCCAAATTAAAACCAGAGAGCGATCTTCCAGCTTTAACTGTTCATTTTTACTTTTTAGTTACTGTGGAATACATGATCCTGCTTGCGTGGTTTACTGTAATACCAGCAAGAAGTGGTTCTGTAACGGACGTGGAAATACTTCTGGCAGGTAGGTATCAGACTGCCATGTGTCTTTAATCAGACTGTGCTCAGATTTGTGTGTAAATTATGGAAATGCTAAAGCGAAGCACAATATAAAATCATGCTAACAAACCTGGTTTTTTTTCCTTCTCTGTGACGGGTTTAACTTGAAACAGATGGTGCTGTGTGAATGCCTTAATGTATTTACCCTTGATTTATTCTCTCATTCTTTTTATTATGCCAGTATGGTTGGCTTAATTCTCATTCCTAGTTTTTATTTATATTTTTCTGCAAGATGAGCTCCTCGCATTCCTGTTCATCTTCATTAAGGGGTGCCCGGGGAGGATGTTCCCAAGACAGTCACGGGCATCCATGAGAGCCACTTCCTGAGAAGGCTCCCTCAGGCCTGAACTCATCGAGTAGTTTAGAGGCTAACACGGGCCAGATCCTGAGTCATCAGATTAAATCAAGTTCATCTGACCAGCGGTGGCTCTGGGCTCCCTCCTGATCACCAGCACTTGTGACTGAGCCGTTGCTTGTGTTTGGTGTTGGGGTGAGAGCAGTGTGGTGGTGGTGCTTAGGTTGTAGGGAGAGTCGGTCTATCTAGCTCAAGTGTTGGACTCCTTGGCCCCTCCCTCGGGTTCATTACATGGCCACAAGAAGCAGAGCAGGGTCTCAGTGGGCCAGGGCTCCAGCAAGGAAACAGCATTTTCTGAGGTTCATGTTTTAGAGAAGTAGAGACAAATCTACAGGCAGGTTTATGTGCACAGAGCCCCATCCACCCTTCCTGTGCCTTCATGCTGCCTAAGGACACAGAGTGATTGGATCTTGGGTCATCTCACAGTTAGTATGCAAATTGTGGGGTTCTGAGCAAGGCAAGAAAGGGGGCTAATGTTTTTAAAACACTTAAAAGGAAAAGCATCTCCAGGGTGACCACAAGAGATTCTAGTCCTATTTTCAGAATGTTCTGGACAATTTGTGTTACCATGTTTGCATTAGTTCCTCTCCTGCAGGGAAAGCAATTAAATAAAACTTGTCTTAGTTGGCAGCCCTAGCTTCCGGTCAGCTGTTAAGATCAGGGAAGTGAGGGAAGGGCCTCCATGAGAAAACAGGCTCAGTCAACCAGCATCACATGCTCTTTACAAGGCTTGAGTGAAAGCTGACGGGGTGCCTGTTGCCACTGAAGCGGGGGTGAAGTGGATACAGATGGTATAAGAGGAAACCACTGGTAACATGCCCAGTGGTGGTGGCTCCAGAGAGGAGTGGGGGACTTGGGGGGTGCTGAGAATGGTGATGGTTGGTTAGATTATCTGATAATAGACTTTGTGGGGCCAGAGAGGGTTCTAGCCAAACCTTGTGACAGGAAGAGTTTACTGATGTGAAGAGAGGGCTGCCCGAGTAGTGTTCCACAGATCTACAGAGAGCCTGAGGAAGGGCCTGTACCATCCGTGAGCCCCAGTGAGGCTGGCTCGGCACAGCCCATGAATTAGGTGAGCTGGAGCCTGGAAATGAGAACAATGAGAACTGGCCACACCGAGACAGCAGGATTCCAGAGGATTTCATTGCTGGCCCTTGTGCTTCCTGAGAGTAGCCCTGAGCCCCCCTATTTGATATTTTTTATTGTCCTCAGGTTTTAATACGCTTGCTTATCGAGTTTCCTGGCCTGCAGCATATTAGGAGTCGGTTATTCCTGGCAGCCAGCACAGAGGTCACTTCCTCGGGGTTTCTATAGGCAGCCCTGTGCCAGAGAAGTGACTTTGAAAGAAGCATCAGAGAAGCTACAAGGAGCAAGAGGAGTTGGGAAAGGGGCAGCGGCTGTAGATTCAGTGAGGCCCAATAGTTGGATTTAAGAAAGCAGGAACTGGAAGGGGGTGGGAGGTGAGAGGCAGAAACTGTGAAATGTGTTAGGAAAGTTATCCTTAAAAGTGGTTCAAGGCGGATTTGTGCTCAATGGGGAGCCAGTTCAGGGGCGGCTGGTCTGCTGGGACACCAGATGGATGAGGTGTGACCAACCCTGCTAATGGACCGTGAATGGTACCGGAACTTTTAACAGGGATTCAAGAATTGGAAGTGGTGAAAAGCCAAACTTTTGAGTGTTAACTATTTATCATTTCCTGATTTAAGCCACATTGTAAATCACCTTGTGAGGGCAAAATGCAAAGAGGTGACTCTGCACAAGGATGGGCCCCTTGGTGAGACAGTCCTGGAGTGTTACAACTGTGGCTGCCGCAACGTCTTCCTGCTTGGCTTCATCCCTGCCAAGGCTGACTCAGTGGTGGTGCTGTTGTGCAGGTGAGGGCTCCCCGATTTCCCCGGGGGCCAGCTCTGACTCAGTGGAACTTTAAAATGGTTTCTGTTGACTGGCTAAATGTTCGGATGTTCGGGGGTTGGGGCTTGTTAGAGAGCTAGGACTGTCAAGTAACTCTGCGGGTGTGTTCTGGTTAAATCGTAAAAATGATTCTGTAAAACCAAAGTCTGTTTTGAGTTTTAAGAGTTCAGAGCTCAAGTGTGTGGGGAGATGCAATTTATTACTAATAATTTAAAGGTAATGTGATCACATAATGAAAGATAGGGACTGCCACCTTGGGGTGAAAGGTAAGTCTTGGGGTGAAGGTCATCTTCATCTGGGCTCTTCTCTCCTCGGGGCTTCTGTAGGCAGCCCTGTGCCAGTCAGAGCAGCCTCAAGGACATCAACTGGGACAGCTCGCAGTGGCAGCCCCTGATCCAAGATCGCTGCTTCCTCTCCTGGCTGGTCAAGATCCCTTCAGAGCAGGAGCAGCTTCGGGCCCGGCAGATTACAGCCCAGCAGATCAACAAGTTGGAGGAGCTTTGGAAGGTGAGGCCTATTGAGAATGCAGTCTTCCTCAGCACTAGTTTCCTGTAGACTTGGGGCAGGGCAAGGGGTGCTGTCTTCGTAAACAGGACATTCTGGAAGGATTCTGGAGCTTCTACCAGGAGGAGTCCTGACAGGAACTGGCCCTGGGCAGCTATGGGTGGACATGTCCAGAGGAGCCTGGGCCTTAGTAGATAGGACTGTGAGTGCATTTTATTTTTTGTTTGTTTGTTTCCATCTTTGTTTGTTTTTAAAATCTTTTTGTTGAGAGTATTACAGGTGTCCCCCATTTTCCCCCCCATTGCTCCCCTCCACCTAGTTCCATCCCTCCCCAGGCCTTTACCACCCTACTGTCTGTGTTCATAGGTAAGATCTTTGGTTAATCTCTTCCCGCCCCCCTTCCCTCTGAGATTTGTCAGTCTGTTCCATGCTTCCATAACTGATTCTATTTTATTCACCAGTTTATTTTGTTCATTAGATTTCTTGTTTGTTTATTTTGATTTTTAAATTCAATTATTGATAGATATGTATTTGTTGCCATTTTATTGTTCATATTTTTTATCTCTTCCTCTTCTTGAAGAATACCCTTCAACATTTCATGTAATACTGGTTTGGTGGTGATGAACTCCTTTAGCTTTTTTCTTGTTTGTGAAGCTCTTTATCTGATCTTTAATTCTAAATGAGAGCTTTGCTGGGTAGAGTAATCTTGGTTGTAGATCCTTACTATTCATCACTTGGAATATTTCTTGCCACTCCCTTTTGGCCTGCAAAGTCTGTTGAGAAATCAGCTGACAGTCATATGGGTAATCCCTTATAGGTAACTAACTGTTTTTCTCTTTCTGCTTTTAAGATTATCTCTTTGTCTTTAACCCTTGGCATTTTAATTATGATGTCTTAGTATGGGCCTCTTTGGGTTCCTCTTGTTTGGGACTCTGTACTTCCTGGACTTGTAAGTCTATTTCTTAAACCAGGTAAGGGAAGTTTTCTGTCATTTTTCAAATAGGTTTTCAATATCTTGCTCTCTCCTCTCCTTCTGGCACCCCCATAATGTGAATGTTGGTATGCTTGAAGTTGTCCCAAAGGCTCCTTACACTATCTTCATATTTTTTTTTTCTTTTGCTCTTCTGTTTGAGTGTTTGTTGTTTTTTAAATATATTTTTATTGATTTCAGAGAGGAAGGGAGAGGGAGAGAGAGGTAGAAACATCAGTGATGAGAGAGAATCATTGATAGGCTACCTCCTGCTTGCCCCCTACTGGGGATTGAGCCAGCAACCTGAGCATGTGCCCTTGACCAGAATCAAACTGGGACCTTTCAGTCTGCTGGCTGGATGCTCTATCCACTGAGCCAAACTGGCTAGGGCAGCTTGGGTGTTTTTTACTTCCTCATATTCCAAATTGTTGATTTGATTCTTGGAATCTTCTACTCTATTGTTGAATCCCTGTAAAGTATTCTTTATTTCAGTTAGTGTATGCTTAATTTCTGACTGGTCCTTTTTCATGTCTTTGACATTCACACTAAGATCCTTGAAAGTCTCATGAAGATCCTGAGTAATCTTATAATCATGATTTTGAACTCTGTATCCAGTAGTTTGCTTCTATTTCTTTGATTTGTGACATATTTCTTTGTCACCACATTTTGACTGCTTCCCTGTGTTTGTTTCTGTGTATTAGGTAGAGCTGCTATGTCTCCTGGAATTGGTAGAATAAAAATAGCCTTATGTAGTAGATGTCCTGTAGGGCCCAGTGGCTCAGCCTCCCCTGTCACCTGAGCTGGGCACTCTAGGTGTGCCCCTGTGTGGGCTGTGTGCACAGTCTTGTAATTGAGCCTTGATTGCTATTGGTATCACTAGGAGGAGTTGACCTCCAGGCCAATTGGCTGTGAGGACCAGCTGCGACTACAGTGGGAAAGCTACTGTGCAGGAAACACCCCTATGGTGCAGATCTTGCTTCAGTGGGGCTTTGGTGCTCACTGAGTCTGCCTCTTGTGGATGTGTAGAGTTATAATCTGTAATGGTCTAAAACTGTCCACTGGGTGCACTGGCTCCAGGGCCTCCAGGGAGGTGCAGTTAGCCACTGCCTGGGGCCACCTGGCAGGAGCTACAGAGGGATCTGCAGGGGGGCTGCTTGTACTGGGCTTGGAGGTGCCCAGGGACGGCCCAGCTGTGAAGCAACGTAGACTGATGCTAATGCTCGGTCTTGGGCCTTTTGTTGATAGGTTTGGGGCACACTGCCACCAGCTGCAGCTTGTTTGGGAGATTTTAGCAAAGTCTGAAGCCTGAACCAGGACAGGCCATTCATATGGAAAAGTTGCTGCAAACAGCTTGGGTGGGGCTGCAAATTGGATGGGGCTGGGTTTCAAGGAATCCCCAGAGTGAAGCAAACAGTATGCTCCAGGTGGATGGAAACTCAAATATGGCTGCCAGCCAGCTCTGCGATGTAGGAGGCCCCAGCACAGGAACAATGACCCTTGTGATACCCCTGTCTGGGAGAAAGCCACCTCTGAGTTCTGCCCTGATGCCAAACAATCCTGTTCCTCCCCATATATGTCTGGGTTCCCCAAAGCCACCTGGTACTGGGAATTGCAGTAGGTTCGTGCTCTGGCTCTTTAAATGGAACACCTGGGTCTCCAGCAGCCTCTTGTCATTCAGCCACAATCCCTGCTGATGTTTACAGCCCGTAGTTACAGGGACTTCTCTTCCCTGCTCTAGAACTCTGGTCTGGGGATCTGGTGTGGGTTTGGGACCCCTTGTTCCTCACAGGTGGCCTCTGCAGAGATGATCTCCCTCCCAATTAAAAAAAAAGGCACACATGAGTGTTAGAACAGCCTGTTCCCGGCCTCCGCCCCTCCTACCAGCCTCAGTGTGCTTTCTTCTTTACTCCTCTAGTTGTAGAACTTCTGTTCAGCCAACTTGCAGGCAGTTCTGAATGATGGTTGTTCTGTATTTTAGTTGTAATTTTGATGTGGTTGTGGGAGGCAGCAAATATAGGTGTTTACCTATGCTGCCATCTTGGTTCCCTCCCCTGTGAGTGTGTTTCAAAACTTTGCTGGGACTTAGATGTATCTGAGCCAGGGAAGTACCAAACTGTGGTGAGTGTGCAGTGGGAAAGGGGTCAGAGACCCTCAACCCAGTAGTTGAAGGAGAGAGGGGCCTTCCTTTGGTTTTGTGGTGGGGCACCTGCTCTGCCTGCAGGGAAGCCCTTCTCTGATTTTCTGTTTAGATTTTGCTATAAAGTTTTAATAACAAGTATAGAAATTTTAATTAGGCACCCGTATAAACAGAAATCTTAAATGTAAATTTATCTTTACTTTGAGTGCAAGTTAAAATATTTTTCAGGCCCTGGCCAGTGTGGCTCAGTTGGTTGAGCATCGTCTCATGCACCAAGAGGTCACTGATTCGATTCCTAGTTAGGGCACATGCCTGGTTTTGGACTCAATCCCCAGTAGGGGACTTGCAGGTGGCAGCTGATTGATGTTTCTCTCTCACTGATGTCTCTCTCTCTCTCTCTCCATCCCTTGCCTCCCCCCCTTCCTCTCCCTCTCCCTCTCGCTTCTTCTCTCTCTAAAATCAATTAAACATATTTTTAAAAGGTTGTTTTTTAGACCTCATCTAGCAAGGTGTCTTTTCACTTCCATTTTCAAATTACCACAATTTTTCACTGTTCCTATTTATATTTCAGCAGCCCAGATACTGTTCTGTCCCTGCCAGGGAAGAATGTGTAGCCCTATTGGTGCAATGTAGGGTCAGGAGGAAATGGGGAGGGAAGGCTCCTCCTCTGCTCACACAGCCAGAGGAGCTGGAGGTCTTTCTGGCAGCCTGGGAGAAGTGCTGTCCCTCCCAGTTCAGGGCCAGATGGTTGTGGAGGATGCAGCCATTTGATGGTGTAGGTATGTCAGCTGTGTTCCTCGAGCATCATCACCAAAACTTACCCCTATTGGTGTAACCTTGTTAGGAACAGCAGCTGAGGTGTGACCATGGCCTGCACAGGCATCCAGCTCCCTATGCCATGTGAACTTCCTGATAGGAGGGCTCTCCCACAGGGTTGACACCACTGACTGCTGGCACCCTTCTCAGCATCAGCCCAGCATTGGCTTGTCCCGAGAAGTGATGGGTGTTTCCCCATCTCTCTGGTGACTGGTGAGCTTCCATGTAGTTAATTTCATACATGGGTGAAATTGGGGACAAACTCGGTACGGGTCTTGTCTTCTAGGAGAACCCTTCTGCCACCTTGGAGGACCTAGAGAAGCCCGGAGTGGATGAGGAGCCGCAGCATGTCCTCCTGCGGTATGAGGATGCCTACCAGTACCAGAACATATTTGGGCCTCTGGTCAAGCTGGAGGCTGACTATGACAAGAAACTGAAAGAGTCACAGGTGATGTGGTGTGTGCAGGAGGGTGTGGTTGTTTTAACACATCTCTCCTGAGACTGTTAGGATGGTTTTACTTGCAGGCTGCCAACACTATCATGGGCCTCGGCCCAGTGCCTAAAGAGATGGAGCCATGGATCGAGGGCAGATGCTCTGTCACTCAGAGCTAGACACTAGCCTGATTTTAAATCCAACAAAAGTCCCTCACAGTCGGGTTCGCAGTCTTTGCCCATTGCCACGAGCGTCAGATCCAAGGAGCCGCGGTCTGCAGAGGGCACTCTGTGCTAGTCCCACGAAGAGCATGTCTAGGAAGTAAGAGCCACGGGGCTCCTGGGCCGTGTCCTCAGCTGCTGGCTTCCTTCTCTTCTTCCGAGGACCTTGAGAGCAGACGTCGAACGGGGGATCCTGGTTGTCTTCTGCGGGTTCTTAGGTCCTAATGACTTCTCTCCCAGGGGTGCCCTTGTTGGTGTTTCAGGCTGTTGGATGCTGCTTGATGCACCCCAGCATCATGGCTCATGGAGTTGCCGTAGGGCACATGCCTGTGGATACCCAGACACAGGAGTCCAGGCCATGTCTGTGTCACAGGCTAACAGGGCTCTTATTTTTCATGTGCTCAGACTCAAGATAACATCACGGTCAGGTGGGACCTGGGCCTTAACAAGAAGAGAATCGCCTACTTCACTTTACCCAAGACTGACTCTGGTAATGAGGATTTAGTCATAATTTGGTTAAGAGGTGATTTTAAGTTTTAAAATATTTGTGACCATAAATAGCATAATTCCTAGTTTGCCCTTGTAAAGTATCCCTTAATTTGAACTCTTCCATGGTAGCCTAGGCACATGTTGAAAACGCTTTTTGCTCTCTTTTTCCTGGAAGACATGCGGCTCATGCAAGGGGATGAGATATGCCTGCGGTACAAAGGGGACCTGGCGCCCCTGTGGAAAGGGATCGGCCACGTCATCAAGGTCCCTGATAGTATCCTTTGTGTGAAGAAGAGCTAGCACGGGGGATCTGTGTGTTGGTCACTGTGGAGACCAGTCCTGGGGCCTTGGGTGGAGAGTATGGCCATGGCTGGAGAGACCCCTTAGAATCAAGTTTGTTTCAAGCCACTGAGCCCTTCATTTGGATTCTGAGCCCTCAGAATTTATATATAACTAGTAGAAGCAATGCTTTACCTGGAGCCAGGATGCTTTGAGATGTTCACCTCATCTCTGAAGCTCACAGTCAGAACCTGGATTCTAGATGTGGCCAATCCATCCTGGCATCCTGGATGACACCCCAAGGTTCACGGGGTAGTTTGGGTGGGGGGTAGTTGCAGGGGACTGGGACACTGGACAGAATCTGTCAGAACATGGGGCTCACTGGCTGTGTTGTTAACTTTGGGCACAATGGGAGAGAAATGTCTCCTCAGTAACCAAATAAGAGCTCCTCAGAAAAGTAAACCCAGCTTATGACAAGGATGAACCTTAACTCAGCTTTGCAGATTATGGCGATGAGATTGCCATTGAGCTGCGGAGCAGTGTGGGTGCACCTGTGGAGGTGACACACAACTTTCAGGTGGATTTCGTGTGGAAATCCACCTCATTTGACAGGTGCGTCTGCCTTCAGCTCTAAATGATTCTCCTTTCCTGGGGGTGGGCTTACCACCAGCCTACATGAGCACGTAGCCAACCTGTTACTTTGCCACAGGATGCAGAGTGCACTGAAAACTTTTGCTGTCGATGAAACCTCTGTATCAGGCTATATCTACCATAAACTGCTTGGCCACGAGGTGGAGGACGTTATCATCAAGTGCCAGCTGCCCAAGCGCTTCACTGCACAGGGGCTGCCCGACCTCAACCACTCTCAGGTTCTTATCATCCTGGAGATGGCTGGGGCCTGGCCTGAAGAGCTGCTGGGGGCGGGGGTGGGCCGAGGGCATCTGTACCCCCTAATGGCCACTTGTATCTGAAGGTTTATGCTGTGAAGACTGTGCTGCAAAGACCGCTGAGTCTGATCCAGGGACCACCAGGAACAGGGAAGACAGTGACCTCCGCCACCATTGTCTACCACCTGGCACGGCAGGGCAATGGGTAGGGATCAGCAGGCCTGACTGCAGGAATGTCTTGGGAGGGTTACCTGCTCACTGTGTTTTACATTGTTTGTATTAGATCAGGCCTCTGGTTGCTTTTAACAAGACAGCCAGCAGTCTGTTGCTCTTCTTTTTTTTAAAAGATTTTTTAGAGAGAGGGCCAGTTCATGGGTGGGTGTTCAACCACTGAGCTACACCAGTTGTTTGGCTCTCTCTGAAATTAAAAAACAACAACAACATGAAAAATATATATTTAAAAAGAAAGACAGCCCTAACCGGTTTGGCTCAGTGGATAGAGCGTCGGCCTGCGGACTGAAAGGTCCCAGGTTCGATTCCGGTCAAGGGCATGTACCTTGGTTGCAGGCACATCCCCAGTAGGGGGTGTGCAGGAGGCAGCTGGTCAATGTTTCTCTCTCATCGATGTTTCTAACTCTATCCCTCTCCCTTCCTCTCTGTAAAAATAAATCAATAAAAATATGTTTAAAAAAATAAAGAGACATATATACATGTGTGTGTATGTATATATATGCTGATTTAGAGAGAGGAAGGAAGAAAGAGATAGAAACATCAATGATGAGAGAGAATCATTGATCAGCTGTCTCATACATGTCCCCCAATGGGGACTGAGCCTCGAACCTGGGCATGTGTCCTGATCAGGAATCGAACCAGCAACCTTTTAGTACACAGAACAACACCCAACCAACTGAGCCACACTGGCCAGGGCAAGCCTGCTGCTCTCAAAGGCAGCTCTGGCCAGTTCACCCAGGTGGTGCTGTGTTGTGTGTGCCTCAGCTTGGAAAGTCTTCACCGTGAGATTGGGGGGATGAGGATGCAGGTCTGTTGTTAGTAATACTTTGCATGAGTAGAGTGAAAACTGGTTGGGGACAGGGAGTCCTGGACTGGCTGGACTTTTAGCTCCTGCATTGTACCATTCCTGGCTTTAGTCTTTTTTTTTTTTTTTTTTTTAATCTCAGGAATGGAGAGGGAGAGAGATAGAAACATCAATGATGAGAGAGAATCATTGATCAGCTGCCTCCTGCACGCCCCCTACTGGGGATCAAGCCTGCAACCGGGCATGTGCCCTTGATCAGAATTGAAGCTGGGACCCTTCAGTCAGTAGGCTGACGCTCTATCCACTGAGCCAAACCAGCTAGGGCTCCTGGCTTTTAGTCTTAGGTTTGTCTGCACTGCCTGTGATTCAAAACAACAGTCTTAGGTTGTTTTGCATTTCATTAATCTCCTCTGGGCAAGCACTGAGATATTCATTTGCTTTATGTTTAAGGCCTGTGCTTGTCTGTGCTCCAAGTAACATAGCTGTGGATCAGCTGACTGAGAAGATCCACCAGACTGGGCTGAAAGTTGTGCGGCTCTGCGCTAAGAGCCGCGAGGCCATTGACTCCCCAGTGTCATTCCTGGCCCTGCACAACCAGATCAGGAACATGGATAGGTGAGTGTCAGGTACCTGGCTGCAGGTGTGTGGGGGGTTCTCCTCTGTGCAAGTCCTCCATGCCCACTGCTGTGCCTGTGCTTCCAGCATGCCAGAGCTGCAGAAGCTGCAGCAGCTAAAGGACGAGACTGGGGAACTGTCATCTGCCGATGAGAAGCGGTACCGAGCCCTGAAGCGCACAGCTGAAAGGGAGCTGCTCATGGTGAGGGCCTGGACCTTAGGGCATACGATGGCACCTTTAGTTAGGTTGTGCCTACTTTTGGAAGAAAGCATAGGTACCCTGAGACCACACAGACATGGTTTTTTAGTAGTTTCTACTGCCTGCCAGCCTCCCTGCTGCTGGGAACTTGGGATCTTGGTCTGTACCCTCGGGGTGGGCCTGTTATTTCATGACAAATCAACCGAAAGTGGATCCCAGCCCAGCACCTGTTCCCCGGCTCAGCACTGCTCCCTAGAGGCTGTCTCAAGCACCGAACCGTCTGTGCTGAGAGGTTTTCTCTGGTAAGGCCCCACCACTTAGGACAGTGATGGCGAACCTTTTGAGCTCGGCGTGTCAGCATTTTGAAAAACCCTAACTTAACTCTGGTGCCGTGTCACATATAGAAATTTTTTGATATTTGCAACCATAGTAAAACAAAGACTTATTTTTGATATTTATTTTATATATTTAAATACCATTTAACAAAGAAAAATCAACCAAAAAAATGAGTTCGCGTGTCACCTCTGACACGTGTGTCATAGGTTCGCCATCACTAAGGTAGGATCTCAAAAGTTTATGTGAGTGCCGTCAGGGAGAGACAGCTTGTTTTCGTGGTTGTCAGGAGGGCAGGGACCAGAGTGGTATCCTGTTCTGTCCTGCCCACCTGCCCTTTGGCGCCTGGTAAACTGTACTGTTGTAGTTGCCCCTGATGCTCACACACACTCTTCCCCAGAACGCGGACGTCATCTGCTGCACATGTGTGGGTGCAGGAGACCCCAGGCTGGCCAAGATGCAGTTCCGCTCCATTCTTATCGACGAGAGCACCCAGGCCACGGAGCCGGAGTGCATGGTCCCTGTGGTCCTTGGAGCCAAGCAGGTGAGCCAACCCCTTTCATGGTGTTCTTGTTTGAAAACTGGTGTGCATTCTCTCCTGTTCAGTTCTGTATAATTCTTAATGCTGGAGGCTGTGTGTGTTTTTTAATGTCCTGTGAGGCTGGGTTCTTTTGTTTTTTGTTTTTAAACATCCTGTGACACTAGGGATGCATGGTGAGCCCTTTAAGGGGTCTTTGAGAGCATCTCTGTGTGCGTCCTGAATGAATGTCTGAGTGTGTTTCATGTCTGTGGTGGGCAGTTTCCCATGCCCAGTCAGTATCTTACCACTGGAATTTGCATGACTGGGTGGTTATGTGGACCCTGGGCCCCTTAGTCTTCTGAGAATGGATGTCCCAGCTGCTTCATGCTTGAACCTCTCACCTGTGTGGGCCTCTCATCACAGCTGATCCTTGTGGGTGACCACTGCCAGCTGGGCCCCGTGGTGATGTGCAAGAAGGCAGCCAAGGCCGGGCTGTCTCAGTCACTGTTCGAGCGCCTGGTGGTGCTCGGCATTCGTCCAATCCGCCTGCAAGTCCAGTATCGGATGCACCCTGCACTCAGTGCCTTCCCATCCAACATCTTCTATGAGGGCTCTCTGCAGAACGGTGTCACTGCAGGTAATACTCGGCAGGGGGTCAGTGGGAACATGCTATCGCTTCCTTCCTGAGTGGCTTTATTAGCAACCATTTGTGTGTGAGGGGTGCCTCCAAGAGGTACCATGGTCAGCAGTACAGCATGTCCACTCTGCAGTGTGGCTGGCCAGTTCTCAGAGCCCATGCCCTGGGGTCCACAAGATGGGAAGGCAAGACTCCTTTCAGAGTGAAGTTGGCATATGCCCTTTGCTGTGCTGACAGTTGCACTAATGGTTCAAAAGCAGCACTGGGAACCAGCAGGGATTTCAGCAGGAGTCTGGATGGTTCCACCAGACTACTTTATGTCATCACTGCCATACACTTATGGCAGCTAACACCCTAAGTGCATGTCCTTGTGACACTGATGGGTATGCAAGGTACTTGATGAATGAAGTACTCACTGGTCACTCAGCTGGGGGGGTATTTATTTTCCTGAAAACAAAGCAAGCTTATGACTTATGTTTTAAGAAAAACACTAACAGCCCGGCTGGCGTGGCTCAATGGTTGAGCATTGAACTATGAACCAGGAGGTCAGGGTTCGATTTCCCAGTCAGGGCACATGCCCAGGTTGTGGGCTCAGTCCCCAGTAGGGGCCGTGCAGGAGGCAGACAATCAGTGGTTCTCTCTCATCATTGATGTTTCTATGTCTCTCTCCCTCTCCCTTCCTCTTGAAATCAATAAGAGAAATACATTTAAAAAAAGAAAAACACTAACAGTATTTACCACCAGTGATAAAAATCTGAGGATTCAACAAAAATTAGTATTTTAGAACCCTCATGCCCCCTAGCATGAGCTGACTAAGTGTTCCCAGTGCTGAGTGGTTTTTCTGATGAGATTGAGGTGGTGGCAGTGTCTGAGGGGAGTCAGTAGGTACCTCTCATCCTAACAGCTAGTGAGGGTGTTGCAAAGTTTGGGTCAAAGGCTGTCCCATGCACAGGGCAGAGAAGAGAGGCTTTCGTCAGAGGCCTACCCGGCACCGTCTGTCCAGCTTTGGTGGAGAATTGGGAGATTACTACAGTTGTGGGGAAAGCTATAAAATATGTCACCAGTCCTAGCTGATTTGGCTCAGTGGATAGAGTGTCAGCCTGCGGACTGAAGGGTCACAGGTTTGATTCTGGTCAAGGGCGCATGCATGCCTGGGTTTCGGGCTTGATCCCCAGTGGAGGGGAAGGGGGCATGCAAGAGACAGCCAATCAGTGATTCTCTCTCATCATTTCTATCTCCCTCTTCCTTCCTCTCTGAAATCAATAAAATTTTTAGAATTAAATAAAATCAGGATGGATATCTTGGCTGTGGAGGTTTCCCTGAGGAGTGAGGGGCCCAACCCCACTCCAGGCCCCCTAGCCAAGGGTTCCAGTACCAGGAAGAGAAGTCCCCACAATTCCTACCTCTAAAATCAGCAGGAATTGTGGCTGAGTGGCATGGAGGCTGCTGGCCCCAGGCAGTTTCTCTCAAAGGGCTCTTCCTCAGGAGTCACTCCCTCTGAGCTCCAGCACTGGGGCAGCAGCTTGAAAGGAACCTGGGACATTGAAGGAGAAACTAACCTGCCTAGAATTAAAACAAGAGCTGGAGGGGCAGTGTATTCCCGGACAGAAGTGCTGGCAGAGGCTTGTTTCTTTGCCGAGGCTCACCCTCCCCCCACGCCCCGAGCCAGCAGGCAGGGCACCATAGTTACATCTCCATCCACCTGGCTCACACTTTTCACCCCACTCTGGTGATTCCCTGAAACCCCACACCTCCCTACTTGCAGTCTCATCTAAGCTATTTCCAGTGGCTTTTTCATACAACTGGCCTCTCTTGCCTCAGGCTTTGGACTTTCTTAAAATTTCTCAAGCAAGCAGCAATGGCTTGAGTGTGCCCCATATCTCTTAGTAAGTGGCCCCAGGCTGAGCACTAGCAGCAACTTTCCTTGATTCAGAGGTTGGCCTCTCCTGGACACCTTCAAGTCCAACACAAGTAGCAGCCATATGCAGATTGCTTTGGCCCCGAGCAGGGCATAGGCAGACTTTGTACCTCCCGGGAGGCCCCAGAGCCTGTGCACCTGGTGGTCAGCTTCAGACCATGCCAGTTTACAACCCTACCACACTCAAGGGGGTGAACTCGGTGAGTACCAAAGCCCCACTAAAGCAAGTCCTGCTCCATGGGCTGGCTCCTGTATAGCAGCTCTTCAGCTCTAGTCGCAGCCAATCCTCACAACCAGTTGGCCTGGGGGTCAGTCCTTCCCAGTGATGCCGACATCAATCAAGGCATAGCTACAGTAGGACAGTACACACAGCTCACACAGGGGCACAACTGAGTGTCCAGCTCAGGTGAGTGGAGAGCTGAGTCACGGCCCTACAGGACACTTGCTACTCAAGGCTACTCTGCCAAGTCTGGGAGACATAGCAGATCTACCTAATATATAGAAACAAACACTGGGAAGCAGCCAAAATACAGAGACAGAATTGTCTCAAATGAAAGAACAGAAGGAGATTCTTCAGAAAAAGAACTAAATGAAATGGAAGCAAGAAAACTACCTGATACAGAGTTCAAAATAATGGTTATGCTCAAAAAACTTACTGAGAATTTCAAGAAACTTAGAGCTTGAAGGATCTTTATGAGAACATCAACAACATAAAAAAGGACAGGTCAGAAATGAAAGATACACTAAATGAAATGAAGAATAATTTACAGTGGAGTAGAGGGTGCCAAGAATAAAATCAACGATTTGGAATATAAAGAAGCAAAAAACACCCAATCAGAACAGCAGAAACGAAAAGAATCCAAAAAATATGAAGATAGTATAAGGAGCCTCTGGGACAACTTCAAGCATACCAACATTCACATTATGGGGGTGCCAGAAGGAGAGGGGAGAGAGCAAGATATTGAAAACCTATTTGAAAAAAATGACAGAAAACTTCCCTTTACCGGATGAAAGAAATAGACGTACAACTCCAGGAAGCACAGAGTCCCAAACAAGATGAACCCAAATAGGCCACACCAAGATACATCATAATTAAAATGCCAAAGGTTAAAGACAAAGAGAGGATCTTATAAGCAGCAAGAGAAAAGCAGTTAGTTACCCTAAGGGAGCGCCCATATGACTGTCAGCTGATTTCTCAACAGAAACTTTGCAGGCCAGAAGGGAGTGACAAGAAATATTTAAAGTGATGAAAGCAAGGACTTATAACCAAGATTATTCTACCCAGCAAAACTGTCATTTAGAATTGAAGGTGAGATAAAGAGCTTCACAGATAAGAAAAAGATAAAGGTGTTCATCACTAGCAAACTGATATTACATAGAATGTTAAAGGGTCTTCTTTAATAAGAAGAGGGGGAGGGGGGATAAAAAATAGGAACAATAAAATGGCAATAAATACATATCTGTCAGCAATTGACTCTAAAGATCAAGATGAACAAATAGGCAGAATAGAGGCAAACTCAGGTACAGAGAACATTTTGACGGTTGCAGGATTAGAGGGGTGTAGATGGTATGAGTGAAAAAGGTGAAGGGGCCAAACCGGTTTGGCTCAGTGGATAGAGCATCGGCCTGCGGACTGAAAGGTCCCAGGTTCGATTCCGGTCAAGGGCATGTACCTCGGTTGCGGGCACATCCCCAGTAGGGGGGGTGTGCAGGAGGCGGCTGGTCGATGTTTCTCTCATCGATGTTTCTAACTCTCTATCCCTCTCCCTTCCTCTCTGTAAAAAATCAATAAAATATATTTAAAAAAAAAAAAAAAGGTGAAGGGATTTAGAAGTACAGATTATTCAAAGCCCATGGATACAGACAGTAGACAGGTGAAGGCCTGGGACAGGGTGGGCGATGGGTGGAGGGAGGCAAAAGGGAAAACAGGGACATCTGTAATACTCAACAATAAAATATAACTTTGGGGGGAAAAAAACATTTGGCAGCAGACCCTGGGTTAACGGGCCACTGTACTCACCAGCTGGCCTCTGGCCTCACTTGAATGATAGAGACAGACTTGACTTCATTCTAGCTTGACAGGAAAGGGCATCATACCGTGTACACTGGCATGTCGGCGTTAGGCTGTTGTCATGCAGAAATACCGGTTTCCTCACACTGATCTGCTGGATAGACGTGCTCCTCTGACAGGAGAGGTTGCTCAACAGTGTCATCCACAAAAGCCGATTGTAGAGGCTTTTGAGTCCTGCGAGGGCAGCAGTAAAGCTCTAGAAGGAAATAGGAGAACATCTTCATGGGCCTGAGCATAGGTTTCGTAAAGTGGCTGTAGAAAGCACCAAACAGTAAGGCCTGTTCAGGGCATGAGCAGCTCTTTGTTGAGTGTCATGTGCACGGCTTCACTCAGTCCTTGCCTCTTGGGCAGGGGATCCTTTTGGATGGCTTCTGGCTGTATTTTTCTTCTCTGACGGGAAGTGTTGCCTCTTTTCCCTCCCCAATGACAGCGGATCGAGTGAAGAAGGGGTTTGACTTCCAGTGGCCCCAACCTGATAAGCCGATGTTCTTCTATGTGACCCAGGGCCAGGAGGAGATCGCCAGCTCGGGTACCTCCTACCTGAACAGGTATGCAGAGGTTTGCCTGCCCCAACAGCTGGCTCAGTGGCAGCTTGGCCAACTCCTAATTAATGTAGGTGATGCTGGTCTGAAACTGCCCTCCTCACTCTGCTCTGTTTAGGTTTCTCAGGCTACAGCATATTCTCATTTCGCTTTTCAGTGTTGTTTTTATGTTGAGCAGATTCTGTGTGTGTGTGTGGTGAGCTTTTTCTGTCCTCTATAACTCCCTTGGTCCAGGACAGGATGGCCCCAATGTGGGCATAGCTGCCCCAGCACCTCCCGTAGCCTCTGGTCTCAGGAGCCCACAGGTGCAGCCCAGGGAACTGAATGCCTGGTTTCCTTAGGACGGAGGCTGCAAATGTTGAGAAGATCACCACGAAGCTGCTGAAGGCAGGTGCCAAGCCGGACCAGATTGGCATCATCACACCCTATGAGGGCCAGCGCTCCTACCTGGTGCAGTACATGCAGTTCAGCGGCTCCCTGCACACCAAGCTGTACCAGGTGCGAGCTCCATCTCCCTCTGCCACACTGACCTTGATCACCTGGCCAGGGAGGTTTGCATTCGAATGTTAACCTTTCTGCTGAGTCCTGCAAATCAAGGCTGTCTTAAGAGTCAGAAATGTGAGAGACAAGGTTCATAAAGTTGTTTTTCTCAGGATACTTTTCAGAGCATAACTTGAAAAGGCTGCAGGGTTGACCTGTTAGGGCTGTGGTGTGTGCTCCTTTGTAGTGGATGTTTCTTATCCATGAGAAGGCTGTCCACTTTTAGGTCAATACCTGGGTAAAATGTCCAGGTGTATCTCATGAGGGTGCAGGACAACATAATTATTTTTCCATGTGGACATGAACCATACTATAAAGTATGGTTCTGACAGTGACATGTGGTCTTCGTTCTGTTAACTTGGGAACAGTCTTGGGTGTTACAATGAGCAAGTACGCTTTTATTATTGGGAAACAGATTACCAAAAATAAAAAGACAAAGCGGGAAGGCCAGGAGAGCAGGGCCGGGGACCAGGGATTCAGTGGTGCATCTGGACATGCTTCATGTTGCCTGTGGGTCTTTGAGGGCAGCCAGCTGACTGACCATGACCATGTGTCCCTGCAGGAGGTGGAGATTGCCAGTGTGGATGCATTCCAGGGGCGCGAGAAGGACTTCATCATCCTTTCCTGTGTGCGAGCCAACGAGCACCAAGGCATCGGGTTTTTAAATGACCCTAGGCGGCTTAACGTGGCCCTGACCCGAGCAAGGTACAGTGGCTGAATCCTGTCTGGGCTTGTTGGTGACAATTGCCACCTTCCTGTCTCAGGGACCTTCAGAGGGACTTTTCCTCAGGGTCTGACTTTGGGAGGCTTCCCACTTCCTGGTCCTCTTGTTAACAGTCCTCGCACCCCAGCCACACCTCGGGCTGGCAGTACAGGGCCTGGGAGGGGGCCTTCGCCAGTTCCTGAGGTCCAGAGGCTACAGCAACAACTTAGAAAGCAGGGCTCACCTGCAAGTACTTTGCTTGTGTGTCCTGGTGGTTTTCTGTGGTCTCGGTCTCATGGACAATGTCCGTTCTGGCCCTTCTGACTTGAGATTCAAACCCAGTGCCTGGCGTGTGTCCCTGTCGAGTTGTTGAACTATGAGTCTAACGGTTTGGCCTTGACTCCTTTTTGGTTCTGGGATGTAACTGCTCTGACATAGTGGTAGCAGCAGAAGAGACTTGGAGAACAAGGGGGCTCCCATGCTGCCCATGTGCCAGCCAAGGTCAGGCTCATGTTCCCACATCAATTCTTTCCCCACTCAGGACACTTGGTTTTCATGGTCACCCCCTTTCTGTTGTACACTGTTGTTAGGTGACCCGCATGGGGACGTGTCCCTAACAGCTGGGGGAAGGTAAGTGTCCACAGAAGCTAGGCCCAGGCTCAGGCATCAAGTTACATGCCTAGTCAGGATCCCTGAGGCATCTCAGGAGGCCGACTTGAGGCTACAACAAGGAAACTAGTCTCTGAGCTAACCTGCCATCTGGGGTTTTTGTCATCTGAGCCCCTAGAAATCCACTTCCAAATAAACTGAGTGCAGTGTTAACAGCTTGTAGGCTGGGCTCCAGTGCCAGTCATCATGGGCAGGCCAGGCATCTAGGCAGGGAGGCTGAGGGTAGCCCCCAGTGACTGGACTCAGGTTTTGAATTTGTTTGGCCTCAGACTGTTGTATGTGGTGTTTGTTTGCTATGAGGCCATAACACCATGTTCTTTGCGCCCACACCTTGCAGATATGGAGTCATCATTGTGGGCAACCCTAAGGCCCTGTCCAAGCAGCCCCTGTGGAACCACCTGCTGAATTACTACAAGGAGCAGAAGGTGCTGGTGGAGGGGCCTCTGAATAACCTGCGGGAGAGCCTCATGCAGTTCAGCAAGCCCCGGAAGCTGGTCAACACCATCAACCCTGTGAGCTGTGGCTGATAGTCAGGAGGGATGGGACCTCTTTTCCTCCAATCCCCCATTCTGGCACCTGGCAGTGAGCGATGGCTGGTGTAGCCTGTGGAAAGCGTGTGCATGTCAGTGTTTGAAGAGGAGCAATGCATGCTGGCTCCCCACACCAGTGTCCTGAGGTTTATACGGGCTGCAAAGTCCTGGGGGTATCTAGGAGTGAGACAAAGGCAGTTAGGAAACCTTGTGAACCCAGGGTGCCTTGGGGGGTTAGGGGTACAGGGCTGCTTGAATGGAAGCCAGAGATGGAATGTGGAGCATCAAAGGCTGTGTTATTGGAAGAGGAGTGGGATTTCTCACCTACCCAAATGCTCTGCAGGGAGCCCGCTTCATGACCACAGCCATGTATGATGCCCGGGAGGCCATCATCCCAGGATCGGTCTATGATCGGAGCAGCCAGGGTAAGTCCTCTCTGTGGGGGCCTGGGCCAGCACTGAGGATGTTGACCCTTCCCACGCCTGCACTGCATCTGTCCACAGAAACCTTCCTGACAACGAGTTCCTTCTCAGCTTCCCTCTCTGAGATCAAAGTGTTGGTCTTTGGCAGTTTCTAAAAAGAAGATATTTTTAAATAACACAGTCCTGCCGGGTTGCCCCCATGCTCCCCCCTCTCCCTCCACCCTGTGCTCCCCTTTTCAATGGGAACTCATACATGCAGTTCCTCCAAGTGGCCTGCAACCTCATTTCAGGTTTTGTCTCTTTCCTGAAGTCCCCTCTTGCTCTGTCAGAGCTCTGAGTTGGGAGCATGTTCTCGTCTCCTAGTGGAGTCTCTATGTCCAAAGGCTGAGTCTGACCCCTGCTGGCTGGAACACCTCTCTTCTTCCTGAGCCAGTGTGAACGGTTCTCTCTCATCCCCCAGGTTCTTGCCTGCTGGGACCCTTCCCCACCCCAATCAGCACAGAGGGCGACACAGTGCCCTGCCACTCACTTCAGTGCCACCTGCCCATGTTTTTTACTGTGGGCTTTGTTCCCTCCTATGCTCAGTATTCATCCTGAGGGCAGGTGTACCCCAGCTCCTCTTACATGTTCTCGGCAGCCCCCTTTCTCTGACCCTGTATTTGCCTGGCCTCTGGGTTCAGATTGGGGATCATGTTATCTAACAACAACAATCCTCTCATCACCACATCAGCAAGTTGCTGTGTAGCTGAGGGTGTCCAAGGTGCTTCTTCCCTCAGTGCCCAGGGGCTGACCCAGAAGACCATGTTTTCAAGTCCATGGGGGCCTTTGTTTGGTCTGTGGAGCTTAGGCATTCTCTTGCTTTTTAGTGTGTGTGGTATGAACATATGTTTTGGCACAGAAAGGACCACTTTTATTTGAAATATTGAGTGGTAGTTCTCAGTTTGTCAGGTCCCTATAGTTGTGTCAGAATCCCCTAGGGAAAAAGGTGGTTTCCCAGGCACCACCGCCAGCAGGTTGAGAAGGGGGTTGATGGTGAGAATCTGCAGCAGGCAGTTCTTGCCATAGGGACACCCTAAAAACTACAGGCAGAGCAGTGACAGGATGGGATAGGCATCCCACTGCAGGCAGAGTAGCTTACTGGAAGTAGGCAGCAGACTCACCTGTACACAGTGGAGAACTTGCCATTCACCCTGTCTTACAGGCCGGCCCTCGAACATGTACTTCCAGACCCACGACCAGCTTGGTATGATCAGTGCTGGCCCCAGCCATGTGGCCGCCATGAACATTCCCATCCCCTTCAACTTGGTCATGCCACCCATGCCACCACCAGGGTATTTTGGACAGGCTAACGGGCCAGCTGCAGGTGAGCGAGCACCAGGCCTCGGAGCAGAATCACTTGTCACCTAGGCTTAGACCTCCTTTAAGGAACCCCGCCGCTGTATTTCAGGCAGAGGCACCCCGAAAGGCAAGACGGGCCGTGGCGGACGCCAGAAGAACCGCTTTGGCCTTCCTGGGCCCAGCCAGACGAACCTGCCCAGCAGCCAGGCCAGCCAGGATGTGGCATCACAGCCCTTCTCTCAGGGGGCCCTGACACAGGGCTACATCTCCATGAGCCAACCCTCCCAGATGAGCCAGCCTGGTCTCTCCCAGCCTGAGTTGTCCCAGGTGAGCTGGCTACACAGAACTTGAAATGTACATCCACTTGCAGAGAAGTTAGACCAACCCAGGGTGCCCCCCCACACACAGACACAGACACCCCTTGACACACTCCCCAAAGGACCCAGGAGGATGGCCTCCTGCATGGCTGCCCTCAGCAGTGGTGCTGTGGGTTTAGAACATTGTCCATGATGCTGCCCCTTCCAACAGTCCTAGCTCACCCGCCTCAGTGGTGAGGTAGCCAGTGTGGGTCTCCTGCTGCTCAGGTTCAGGACTGCTTTTTCAGACTCTTCTCTAGGCTTGCGAGGGGCTGAACACACAGCAGATTCTCAGAGTTGCAAGGACATGTGCCAGTTCTCTGGCTGCTCATCTCCCCACTGTGTCTTTCAGGACAGTTACCTTGGTGATGAATTTAAGTCCCAGATTGATGTGGCGCTATCGCAAGATTCTACGTACCAGGGGGAGCGGGCGTACCAGCACGGTGGAGTGACGGGACTGTCTCAGTACTAGAAGGCAAGCCAACTCCGGAGGAGGGCTTCACCGGGACCTGGACTTGTCAGAAAACTCGGGAAATGTGGGAGTCTCAAGTCCAGGAGGGGCCAACTCATCATTGTGACCTGTCACTTCAGGTCCCTGCACCTCTCCCTGTGTTATGTCCTCTCCTGCGAGTCCTAGAACTCCTGAGAAAGGCCGATGTGGAGGCCCATAGCCCCCTGGGCAGGCAGGGAGGTGGACACATCCCTTTCCCTGACTGGCAGCTTGTGAGGGTGATGGGTCCTGGCACTAGGTGCATAGGGAACTTCTGCAGAAGGTGCCTGTGAGTCATGCCTTGCGGTTCCCATCTGTCTGTGTGCCAAGGAAAGCTGTGTGCTGATACTGCTGGGAGAACGGGTGCCACTGTTATAGCACAGGCTGTAGCCTTAGCATTTGACTGCCTTCTGTCTCTGGTTGGAAAGTCAGTGGTCTAAGGGCTGTCCAGCACGTGAGGTCACATTTTACAGGTGAGAACATCGGTGCTAAATGGAAGTAGGGAGAAAGCAGCTTGCCTTCCAGGCAGGGCTGGGCTCCTCCTTTCTCTGATAGCCTGTGCCCTCTCCCTCCCTCTCTCCACAGGTGGCAGCGGAAGAGCTAAGCTTTGGGCTTAGTCCATCAGCATCTTATTCTGGGTAATAAAAAATAAAAATAAATGGATACCTGTTTTCCACTGCTAAAACTGAAGCACCACTGAGCAACAGGAGAGGGAGAGCAGCCCGAGATAGTGAGCGCCCACTGCTGGCACCGCGGCGAGGAGACAGAGGGAGAGCGGAGGTGGGGCCGGCCAGCCCGAGAGCCCTGCAGCCAGCTCGCCCAGGAGGCCCAGCTCGCCGCGTCTACACCTGGGTCTGCGACCAGGAGGAGGGAGGAAGACCCTCATCTCAGAGTAGCCCTTTCCTCTGTTCTTTCTTTCTTTTTCTCTTTTATTGAAAGGGGACTACGTTTTATCAGGAACAACTCACATTTCTGTGCTGAACAGGCTCCTTGCAGCCATGCCTAGAGAGCCCCGCTGAGGCGCGTGTTCTGTCCACACTGAGACCTTGCAGTCACGCTGCCTGTGTTCTAAGAGGGTTTTCATTTAAAGAAAATGTGGTGTTTGGGGTTTTCTGTTTGTTTCTTAAAGATTCTTTCAAAGGAGTACTGAAAAATACTTTCCTGAGTTTGTCTCTCAAATCTTAGTGGTGGACCTGGGAGATGCAAGAAGCTTCCAGAAACGAAGTTTAAACGAGACACACGACGAGGTTAGGATGAACACCTGTGACGCGATCATGGAGAGGAAGATGTTTGTTTTCAGCTTAGTTTCCAGCAGCTTCTCCCTGTGCGTCAGGGCAGTGAGAGAACGTCACCTGGGCCCACGGGCTCCGCTGGACTCCGAGAAGCAAAGCACTTCTCACATGCAGTGGACTCAGTCCCCTGAAGGGCCCAGCAAGACTAGCCATGAGGCTGGAGGGGGGGAGGTGGTCGTTCCTCAGCCAGCGGCTGCTTCCCCAGGGAGGCGCCCACAGTCCCTGTGGCCGTCAGACAAGCCGAGAGCCTTGCCCCCCCTTTCTCTCCACCCCACTCCCAAATTTTGAGCCCTTCTACCTGTGAGCATAGCTTCAATGAGTTGGGGTGGTTTTCATTTTATTTGGGAAAAGGAGTTTCAGAAATAAGTTGGTTCTGTGCCGAAGGTGCTTGGGGGAGTGGATCACTTCAGCCGTGCAGACGAATCCACCTGGATCTGCATTGGGAAGTTCTTGTGGTTGTGAAAGGTCCCCTGTGGGGGCAGGTGTTTGTCACTGTGGTGACCACCAAGTTGACTGTTTCCTGCCTACCCAGGTCCTAGTGACCGTGACCCCAGCATCCCTTCCCTATGCGTCTGACACTGGCCCTTAACCCAAAACCTCCAGATGCCATCTGGTACACGGAGAGACAGGGACACACAGGCACCTTTCTTCTGGCAAGGCCTCTTAGCCCGTTGCTGTAGGGCTTTTGGTAGGCCACCTAGAGGCATTGCACTTGGATAGGCTTCTGCTGTGACCCTGTATGCGCGCCCCCCCCCCCCCCCCACTGCCCTGTTCCTTTTTGGAGTGCTCTACCTCGCTCTGTGCTGTTGGCTTTTATTCACCTTCTAGCAGCAATTATTCTGAGTTTTCCAAATCAAGGAGCATCTGTACCAAGGCAATGTCACTTCTGATTTTTGGTCAATTTGTTTTAAGCTCTTTTGTCACCAATAAAATGTTAAAAACAACTCTTGCATGTGTCACAGAGCTGGATAAGCTACAGGGGTGGGAGAGCACTTAGGTCTGGGGTCCTGCAGTCTGAAGGGCAAAGCTAAGAAGGGCTGAGTCAGCAGACTGGAAAGTGTGTGTGTTGGGGGTCGGGGAGGTGGCGACTCCCAGCGTCCCCTTAGAATATGTAGAGCCGCCTGTATACAGCCTTCTAAGGGCCGGTGGCTCCAGACCGCCCTCCCCCCACCAACCTGATGGATGTGCCAGTACTCCCCCAGCCCAGGTGACAAGACCCAAAGACGGCAGCTCAAACCGCCCGGTGTTTATTGTGTCCCCGCTCCTGCAGTCCGTCAGCGGCAGCCGCACTCGTCCACCACCATGTCCTCGTAGTGCCGCAGGACCACGTTGTCGCTGTTGTCGAAGAAGAGCACGGAGATAGGTGACAGGCGCGCGGGAACACAGCAGGGCAGGCCGGCAGGACCGGGGGCTGCCGAGTGCATGAGCGCGCGCAGCACGGCGTGGTTGAGCGCGGGCGGCCCCCCGGGCCCGGGCAGCGTGGCGGGCAGCGAGCACTGGCCCTGGCAGTAGTTGGCCAGGAAACCGCGCGGCGCAATGACCCAGCGATGCCAGCCCACCTCGCGGAAGCTGACGTAGAGCCGCCGGGCGCGACAGGAGCCCCCGTGGCCGCCACCCACCGAGGGCTCGGCCTCGCGCCGCGGCCGGGCGAAGGGGTGGCACAGGCGCGGGTCAAGGGTCACCAACAACAGTGAGGCCTCAGCCAAGCGCCCGCAGGTGCCCGTGTGCCGGGGGCGCAGCGCCAGCGCCAGGCGGAGGCTGCGTGGTACTGAGGCGTTGTGGGCCCAGGTGGCGCCCAGCAGCTCAGCGCGCACCGGCGTCCCGAGGGAGACCACTGCCTGGCGGAGCAGCACCGGGCCTGCGCCCACCTCCTCGGCCGCCTGCGCCACGCTCAGCTCCCAGCCGCCTGCTGTCTCCGCCGCAGCCGCTTCCTCCGCTGCGAAGCGCAGCTCCAGACGGGCTCGGCTCGGGAGCTCGGCGGGTTCCACAGCCGACAGGTCGAAGATGAGGGTCCATTTGGGACACTGCCCTGCCGCCGAGGGCTCCGTGGTCCGGGCGCGTGCGCCTAGGGAGGCCGGGAGAGGGCTCAGCTCTCGTCGTGTCACCGCCTACGCGCGAGGGGTCTCGGTTGGGAACTTGGGGGGAAGGTTAGTGCCTGAGGCCGAGGGCGCACCATCTGTTACTTGGCGTCAAATGGTGTGAAGGGGGGGGGGGGGGAGAGATGGAGTGTGGGCGGGGCATCGCTTGCAAGGAAGAGACCTGCCCGATGCTGGGTGGCCTGCCCGTCGGGAACACAGGCAGGGGGCAGCGATGAGCAAACGCCTGGGTAAGCGATGCTGGGGCGGGGTGTCATCGGCAGGAAGGCTTCAAATGCTGTGAAGCAGCGGGAGTGAGGGAGAGTGGGGGCAGGGCTCCAGCTGCAAGCAAAGGCCTTGCCGGGTGCAAGGCAGCCTGGCCTTGTGGCCACTCACCCGGGTCCCCGCAGGTGTCCACGGGAGAAGGGATGGAGTACAGGGACTCAGGTTGCTCGTGGGCTGGACTGGGTGGGTGGAGACCCTCGAAGTCACTGGAAGCTCGTGGGGGGCTGGGGTGCCCAGGGAGGTATCGGCCTCCCAGACCCTCACCCCCCGGAGCAGGCACCACTCACCGCGGTCCGGGATGTGGCGCACGATGTTTCCGGCGACCCCCAGCTCCTCCACGTGACACGGTCGTAGGGTGGCCCCCGGGGGCGTCCGTCGTGGGCTGAGCCTGGCCTCCTGGGGGTCCCGGCGACGAAACAGGCGCCACATGATGGGGGGTACGGACCGGGGCTTTGGTGCGCCCTGGGGCGCGTCGCGCAGCCCGAGAGCCTGGAGCAGAGAGGCGGCGGGACCCGGGGCCGCAGGGGCGCGGGCCAGGAAAGGCGAGGGCAGCAGCAGGGCGAAGAGGAGGAGAAGAACGCGGTGGCCAGGGCGGCGGAGCAACGGTGGCATCTTTCTCACTGGCGGCGGCCGGAGGAGTGCTCGGGGTCCAGGGCTGGGCTGGGTCAGGGTCCCGGGGGGCGTGGCCGGGCTCCTGAATCCTGGCAGGGACCGATCCTAGGGCGGGGTCTCCGGGCTGCGGGGCAGGGGTCCCGGGAGTGGCCAAGGCCCGGGAGGGGCGGAGCTGGAAGGGGCCAGGGTCTTGGGGAGCCGGGGAGCCGTCCCAGGGGGCAAGGCGGGGCAGGGTGAGGTCCGGGGGAGCGGAACGGGCGTCGAAGGGTTCAGAAGCGCTTGTCCTTCACCAAACCGTTCCTCAGCGGCTTTCTGGGGGCCAAAACCCGCCCGGTTAGCCTAGGGACCCCACGCTCCCACGTACTCCCTGACCCGCCTGCCTTGCCGTCCACATTCCCTTTCCCCGCCTAGTTCCCAGTCTGGCTCCTCCCCGCAATTAAACTCCATCCCCTTTCCCTCCCACCCTGGGCCCTGGCCGGCCACTGGAGTGCAAATGCCACCTACCCACCTCTGCCTGACATGCTCCCATCTCCTCAACGGGGATCAACCCTGCACTTGATCCTCCTCCCTCCAAAAATGCAGACCTGCCAGAGGCCTCTGCCACCCTCCAAGGCAGGCTGGCCCGCTCCAGTGGCGCCGGCTGGCTCATAGGCCCATTGGACAGGCTTCCCTGCCCTGTCATTCTCCGTCCACCATCTGTCTACACTGCTGAGCCCTTATTTTCATTCCATGTGTTGTTGTTTTTTATTTCAGAGAGGAAGAGAGAGGCAGAGAGAGAAACATCAATGATGAGAGAAAATCATTGATCAGCTGCCTCCTGCACGCCCCCTACTGGGGATTGAGCCCACAACCCCCGGCATGTGCCCTGACTGGGAATTGAATATGACCTCCTGCTTCATGGGTCAACATTCGACCACTGAGCCACAGCAGCCGGGCGTCTTCAATTTTTTGAACCAGTAATATGTTATCATGACCTAGACATCCTGGGATATAATCTTATAGACACTAGCAGACACTCCTTCACATAAGAACGAAGACTTTGCCCTAACCGGTTTGGCTCAGTGGATTGAGCGTCGGCCTGCGGACTGAAGGGTCCTGGGTTCGATTCTGGTCAAGGGCATGTACCTTGGTTGCGGGCACATCCCCAGTAGGGGGTGTGCAGGAGGCAGCTGATCGATGTTTCTCTCTCATCAATGTTTCTAACTCTCTGTCCCTTTCCCTTCCTCTCTGTAAAACATCAATAAAATATATAAAAAAGAAAGAACGAAGACTTTCCTGGAGATGATAGTTTAGGTCACTTTAATTCATCCTTCCCTTGGGCTGGAGTCACTGGCTGACCCTTCCTGGAGCACTGACCCTGTCCTCATTGCTTTTCCTGGGGGTCCCTGCTCTCTCTCTCGCTGAGCCAGCAGGAGCTCTTTATCTGTGAGGTTACAGATAAGCCCTACACGGATCTCCATGTGTCTGTTGTTTTCTGGTTTTGCCTGTCCGTCCTTAGACAAGCAGAAGGAGGTTCCTGGCTTCTGGACTCTTCTAATACATAGTTCAATTGCCAGATGACAGTGTCCCATTTGTGGCTCTGGTCGGAGTTTACAATTTCCACTTCTGCGTCAACATCTTTGAACCACTGGAGTTTGCCCCGGGAACTGACGCGAGAGACCCTCCAGATGGTTACCAAGGGTCCCACCGTGTTCCAGCCGTCCTCCCTTCCCTCCTGGGGACCTCAAGGGAGATGATTTGGCTGTGTTCCCCCACAGCTTTAATTCCTGTACTTTTATAGTACTTTAAAAATATATACTTTTATTGATTTCAGAGAGGAAGAGACAGGGAGAGAAACATCAATGATGAGAGAGAATCATTGATTGGCTGCCTCCTGCATGCCCCCTACTGGGGATCGACCCCACAACCCAGGCATGTGCCCTTGACTAGAATCGAATCTGGGATCCTTCAGTCTGCAGGCCGACGCTCTATCCACTGAGCCAAACTGGGTAGGGCTATCGTACGTTTAATACCTTCAGGGATCTACCTTTGCCCATGCCTTTTTATCAGAGCTTTCCTGGTGACTCTGGACTGTTTTATGAACAAGTGCCCCTCCTTCATCAAAAACAATGTTAGTATTTTTTTGGCGGGGGAGGGGTCGTTGGCCTCTGGAGATATCAGAGTTAGACTTTCCAGTTTGAGTGCACCGCTGTGGGGAGGGTCAGGCGAGGGAGGAGGGTGGGAGGTGAGGGCAGCCAGTGACTGAGATGGAGCCTGGATGTTTCCTGGAGAATGAGGAGGAAAAGGGGAGCAAGGGGGCTTCCTGGAGTTTCCCAAGGTTTCCACCCTGAGTTGCCGTCACCGTGATGGACAAATGCTTGGGAGAGCTAGTGGCCTGGGGGTTGATTTGGGATATTTTAGAAGAATGACATTTCGCTTAGAAGCACTTCGAGCCTGCAGAGAGCCTTGGAGGTTGGGGTGGATTAAGTGAAGGGGCCCCAGGGGAGGGGGCGGCTGGTGGGGAGGCCAGAGACCAAGCCGGAAGCACCCAGAGGTGGAGTGAAGAACATCAAGAATGGGGAGCAGAGGAGCTTTGATAACCTGCTTCCTGGCATACGGCATCAGTTTGGCTCAAATAGACCCATAAATTTTTTTTTTTCAAAAGTGCAGAGCAGAGCAAAGATGCCACCACCCACATCACGCTTTCCTTCCTCCTGTGGCTGTAAAACTGAAGCCGGGTCCTGGGATGGAGCGTCAGCGTCAGCGCGAGCCCTGAATTCCTTTCCCTCCTCTTATCTGGGCTGTGTGCTGGCCAAAGAGACACAAGAAGAGATGGATTTACCGAAACCTTCCCTCCAAGCCCACCAAAGGGGCCAGGCGATGCAGGGGAAAACCTGATTCTCCTTCACAGTGCCGGAGCCCAGGCCTGTGACCGAGTCTAACAAGTTTGCTCTTCTGAAGAAAGGAGCGTCAACGCCCACACAGCTCCCGCTCTCGCAGGGATGGAGGCGGACTTCGACCTTCGAAGTGTGACGGTCAGTGGCCCTGGGGACCACAGCTGTGTGTGCTAACACACAAGGGCTCCTTTCTTGGCCTGAGAGTCCGGTGATCAGCTCTCGATCTGTGTGACAGATTCCCCAGGTGCCACATCAACAGATTACGCCATGGGGAACCGCATCCGCCTGGGCCTGACTGCCGGAATTATGGTTCTTACGGTGGCTCTCCCGGTGGAGCCAGGAGCCGTCTCCCTGGGGATCCCGCGGCGAAGGCCCAATTGTTGTAGAAGAAGAAGTCCCACAGCTGCCTGGGGAAACACTGGTGCTCGATCCAGCCGGACCTGCTGAATCCAACAGCTCTGCGAAGCCGGCATGCTCAGCCAGCCCCGGACAGATGACGGCTCTCTCCCTGTGTCCTGCACCAGGGGCGGCAGGCAGGACTGAGCAGAAAGACTTGCCTAACACATTTTGGATGACTTGAAAAAATACTTAGAACTTCAGCGTCAGATTGAGTAGCAAGTACAGTCTCATGTATAGGAACTGCTCTTCCATTGAAAAGTGGGGCCTCGCCAGTGTGGCTCAGTGGTTAAGCATCAACCTCTGAACCAGGAGGTCAGGGTTCAATTCCTGGTCAGGGCACATGCCTGGGTTGTGGGCTTGATCTCCAGTAGGGGGTGTATAGGAGGCAGCCAATCAATGATTCTCTCAGCAGTGATATTTCTCTCTCTCTCTCCCTCTCCCTACCTCTCTGAAATCAATAAAAATATTTTTTAAAGAAAAGTGTATATATAGTATTCATTATTACTTCCCCTCCACTCTATTTTCTGCTCTCGACCAACAATTGGTCACATACTGGAATTTCTGCATTTATCACACGTTTTTTAAAATTTCATTTCATACATTCTGAACATTTTAGCTAATTTTGGAGAAGTCCACTCTATATCATATTAACAATTTGCTCTTGACTTGTCCCCAGTATTTCTGGTGCAGGTTTAAAATGTCATTCATCATATTTTTGTTTTCAAGATCTGTTGTTGTTTCTTGTTCAATAAATACTAATTCTTAATTTTTAAAAAATGCGGAGTAGACTGACGGATGCTTCAGGGGTTCCTGGGTTCAGTGTAAGGCTTCTTTTGGGGGTAAGGAAAATGTTCTAAAACTGACTGTGGTAATGACTGAACAACTCTGTGAATGGACTAAAACATTTAATTATACAGGGTGAATGGGCAAATTGTATGGTATGTAAATTCTGTCTCAATAAAGCTTTTTTTTTTTTTTTTTTTTTAAAGGGGGGAGGTGACCCTGGATTTAGCACCAAGAAAGCCTTGTTTGAGCCAAACAGGAGTGGTCTAGGGGAGTAGTGGGTGGAGGACCCCAGAGTGGGGTGGGTTTGGGAATGGAGGGGTTCTGCTGCAAGGGAGGCAAGAAGTGGGCGGCTGGTGCGGAGGGCTGGAGAAAGGTCTCTCTCCTTGATCAGAATGTCCTGAACAGGCAAGAGGCTGGGCGCCCCTGGCCCTGGACGGTGGCCTTGGAGGGAGATGGACCATCCACTGAAGCAGCCAGCCAGTGCAAGGGTGGACGTCTCGTCCCTCACTCCTGTTTTCTTGGGGACACAGAGGCCAGATTGTCAGCGAGGGGGATGATGGTGATGGCAGTTGACAGTTGAGGAGAAGGGAGAATTAAGGAAGAGTAGGCATGCTGGCACTGTGTGGGCATCACCAAGGGCCCTCTGGCCCATTATTGTGCAGCAGCGTGAGCCAGACACGAGTCACAGCTCATTGGGCACGGCGGGGCAGTGGTCACAGACCCGGGATGGGGCGAGGCCCTTGGTGGATGGCAGTCCCAGCAGCCCCTGAGGATGCCCTTCAGACCCAGGTGCCACATGATGACCAGGGCATGGGGTGGGGTGGGGGGCAGCTCAGGGGGGCTGGATCAGTCCAGGAGGATGGTCTACCAGGTGACCAGTGGCCCAGCTGTGGGGTGAGTCAGGAGAGAGAACAGAGGGAGGGAGTAGGAGTGAAGAGGGGCTGGGAGAGGAAGGGATCGGTGCTACTTAATCGCCATATGGTTTGTTTCCCCTGAATTACTTCAAAGTGATTCTCAGTTGTGAGTGTCTTACTGTTTTCAAACCTAACTGAATTTCTGTTTATTGGTCTGTACAATCCTGGTTTCTGAACAATTGAGGTTACCCCTGTGGCTGGCTGTGGTCAATTCTGAGAAATGTGCCTGTGTTAAGAAAGAACATCTGTTCACCTGCTTCTGAGTTGCTGGGTGAGGAGCACAAAGCATGACTGTACCTCTCGGGGTCCCATCACCCCGAGGTTCAGGACTGCGTCATGTGGGCCATTTCAGATCAAGAATTACACCCCAATTTCTCATGCTTTCTCACTTGCAACTTTTATGTACCTTGGAGTTGAAATCTTTTAACAGTATATGTGTGTGTGTGTGTGTGTGTGTATACTGTTATATATGTGTATATATACTATTATATATAAATATATATTTTATATATATATATAATATCTTAATATATTTTTATTGATTTCAGAGAGGAAAGGAGAAGGCGAGAGAGACAGAAACATCAATGATGAGAATCATTGATTGGCTGCCTCCTGCATGCCTCTAATTGGGGATCGAGCCTGCAACCCAAGCATGTGCCCCTGACCAGAATCAAAACCAGGACCCTTCAGTCCACAGGCTGATGCTCTATCCACTAAGCCAGTGATGGTGAACCTTTTGAGCTCAGCGTGTCAGCATTTTGAAAAACCCTAACTTAACTCTGGTGCCGTGTCACATATAGAAATTTTTTTTATATTTGCAACCATAGTAAAACAAAGATGTATATTTTTGATATTTATTTTATATATTTAAATGCTATTTAACAAAGAAAAATCAACTAAAAAAAAATGAGTTGCCGAAACCGGTTTGGCTCAGTGGATAGAGCGTCGGCCTGCGGACTGAGGGGTCCTGGGTTCGGTTCCGGTCGGGGGCATGTACCTGGGTTGCGGGCACGTCCCCAGTGGGAGGTGTGCAGGAGGCAGCTGATCGATGTTTCTCTCTCATCGATGTTTCTGACTCTCTATCTCTTTCCCTTCCTCTCTGTAAAAAAATCAATAAGATATATTTTTAAAAAAAAATAAAAATAATAAAATTAAAAAAAAAAAATGAGTTCACATGTTACCTCTGACATGCATGTCATAGGTTTGCCATCACAGCACTAAGCCAAACCGGTTAGGGCAACAGTATATATATATATATATATATATTTTAAGGCCAATCTCTTAACTGTCATGATTATTCATGTGTTTATTTGGATGCCTAGTATTTGAGATTCTACCCTCTTATGTTGCATTATTTATGCAGCCTTTTCTAACCTTTCTCTTGCATTTCTTGTGTACCTGTTTTTTGTTAACTCTCATAGTGTTAAAGTACCTAATACAGCTGAAAGGTAATCCCCGCCTTCTTGCAAAATACAAAACCCCCAATTCTGTTCTGGTATTTAACATCTTAGTTCTAATTATTTTATATCTCTCAAATTAGGGAATTAAAATGTTTATCCAGATATGTATCAGTTTCTCTGATGGTCTGCTTCTTGAGAGAGTTTTCTGGAATATAACCTTCTTGGTGTTTGCTGCTCTTAAGTAACTTCTTTTGTGTGTGTGTTTTTTGTTGGTGCTGTTAATCCTCACCTGAGGATATTTTTTCCATTGTTTTTTTCCAGAGGGTGAAAGGGAGGGAGGGAGAGAAAGAGAGAGAGAGAGAGAGAGAGAGACTGACCACCTCCCACATGTTCCCCAACCAGGAATCAGGTGGGTGCCCTGATAGGGAATCAAACCCACAACTCCCGTGTGGGCAGAAGCTCTAACCACTGAGAAACACCATCCAGGGCTTGAGTAATTATTTTTAAAATTGTGTATGAAATCCCTCGTTGCTGGTTATTCCGTTTTAGCACTTGCGGTGACGCTTTCCTCCATAGCTAGCGTCCCTTGCTGCTAGTCTGTTTCATGGGTCGTCTCTTCTTCTCTGTGGCTGTTTCCATTTGCACTATGATGTGTTTGGGGCATGGATGCCTTTTTTTCGTCCTGCTTATGATGGATGCCTTGCCACTTTCTGGAAAATTCTCAGCATTATGTCTCTCCTCTTGTCTCTCCCCACCTGTCTCCTATTAGAATTCGGCTAGACCAGGTCATTCTTAAAATCCTAGCTGCCATAGTTGCCATCTGTTCTTGCTGCTTCTGGGTAATTTCTTCACAGCTTTTACTTGACTGCCTCTCTCTCCAGCTTTCTAATCGTGTGAACCTTCACAGCTTTCGTAGGTTGAGTGGTGGTCCCTGAAAAGAGAGGGCCACACCCTAATCTCTGGAACCTGTGACAGTGGCTTATTTGGAGAAAGAGCCTTTGCAGATGTAGCTAAATGAAGTTTAACACAGAAAATCAAGAGGGAAGAGAAGGCCACGTGAAGAAAGACGCGGAGATCGGAGCGAAGCAGCCACAGCCAAGGAGCACCTGGAGCCGCAGGAGCTGGAAGAGCAGGAAGGACCCTGGCCTGGAGCCGTCAGCGGGCGAGTGCCTGCTGAAAACTCGACTTCTGAGCCCCCAGAAATGTGAGAGGACACGTCCCTGTTGCTTTAAGGCGCCCTGTCCGTGGTACTTGGTGACAGCAGTCCCCGGAAAGTAATATAACATCCGATGCTGTTTTTTATGTCACTCATGCCTTTTATTTTTTAAATAAACTTTTTATTTTAGAATAATTTTAGATCTGCAGAAACGTCGCAGAGATAGTCCAGAGAACTCAGTGCAGCGCGGACCAGCTTCGCGGATGTTACTACCTGACGTCCCCACAGAACACGTGTCTCACTCGGCAGCCGGTGCCGGACCCTGCTCGGAGCTAACGGCGGGCTTTCCTCGGTTCCGTTTCTCCACGGCGGTCCTTCTGGTCCAGGACCCCAGTGCATTCAGTCCTCTGACCTGGGACAGGTCCGCAGTCTCCTTGTTCTCCATGACCTGATGGTTTTGAGGCATCCTGACCACTCACCCCATCTTTACACCCGACTGCGCTGACTCCAGGCATCCGGGGCGGCGAGGTCTGCTGGTGCTGCCCACGGACTGACCGTGCAATGTGTCCCCTGCGCACCCTGTCACATCCGTGCGGCGTTCACACTCTGCTGTCCTGGTGGGAATGCTGGCAGGTGCCAGGCCCTCGGCCCACGTTCTGGCCGGACATCCTCTGGGAGACAGCAGGGAGCAGCACCAGGCGCGGCTCGGCACGGCCTGGGCTTTGCATTTACAAGGACTCTCCACGGAAGCTGCCTGTTCCGCAGCAGGAGGAGCGCGCAGATTCTTAGATCTGGCCAAGCAGGAGCCTCTCCCCCGGCCCTTGGAGTCTCTCAGCCGCTGCTGCTTCCGGACGCCTCTGAGGGTCGGTCAGGCTCCGTGCTGAGGCCTCAGCAGAATTCCTGACTCACGATCCCTGGACGTCGAGAGTCAAACACCCCGCAAAGGAACGCCTACCCGACCCCACTGGCACACAGAACCCTGCCTGGTAAACGGCATTTTGGTAAATGGCAGCTCGAGCCCGAAGTCTTGGGTCACCTTTGATCCTTTTATTTCAGTTTCACCTACATCCAAGCAAGTCTGGTCAGTTCCACAACGGAGTTGGGATCTAACCACCGGGGACCCAACTTGCTGCCAAGCCCTCTTGTGTCCATGGCCTCCATCTACCTGTCCGATCCTTCCCGCCCCGGGGCTGGCTTTCGGCCTAGGTGCACCCCGCCCGCAGCCCGTGTCGGTGGCACAAAGTGCTTCTCTGTTTGAGTCGGCCTGGAGAGCCCTCCCTTGGTCCCGTGCTCCGATCGGGCAATGCCCCGTCCTCTGCTTCTCGTCTCCCGTCTTTCATGGAGATTTTAAAACCTCTGCTCCTCTCATCCTCCTGGACACCCACCTTGACCACCTCCTTGAGCCATGAGCCCTCCGCTTCCCCACAACCACCATTCCCTCCAGAGGCTAAACTGGAGGTCTGCCTGGTCAGCACCCTGACCTCCCACCTGCTCATACACCCCTCATGTTGCCTCTGGGGCACTGCGCACCCTGGACCCTGCTTGTCACACAAACCTGCCTCTGTTCACGCCTGGGGCCCTGCAGGCCAGGGGCTCAATCCCAGGGTTGACAAGTCCTGGGGGGCCTGCCTCCAGGATGCTTGACCAGCCTTTTCCTCTCCTTCCCTAGGACTCCCACCTGGGCCGTCTCCGGCTCGGGGAGTCAGGGGGTCAGGGAGCAGGGACAGAGCATGGTCCGCCTAAGCTGCCCGTGGCACCCCTCCTCCCTCCCTCCCCTGTCTGGCCCATGGCTGCTCCTTACCACCCACAGGGCCCCTCGGCTTGGCCCTCACTGCCCCACCAGTGACACCCTGATTCTTGCCCCTCACCCTCTGCTCCACCCTGACCTCCCTTTCGCCTCCTCGATATCTATCCTTATGGCATCTGTCTCCATCACTACCCCATCCACGCCTTTACTGCAGTCTCTGTTTTGGACGTAGACTCCAGGGGCAGCGTCTGCTTCAGCCTCATCGCTGCTGTGTCTCCAGTGTCTGCCCACAGTGCGCGCTCAGACTGACAGATGTGACTAAAGGAACGAACCCGGGGCGGCAGCCCCTCCAAACTCACTCAGCTTTGCTGGGCTTGGGGCTCGGGGCCTCTGATGCATCGTATTCCCGTACGTCCTTCAGCTCCCGAACCTGGCCCGTCAGCACCTTGGCAGCAAAAGCCACGATGTACTGTGGGAGGGGAAGACGCAGGTAAGAAAAGGGCCTTCCCCAGCCACGCTGCCCTCTGAGGGCCACGGTCCTGCCACAGGCCCTCGGCACGGCTGTTCCCGTGGCCTAACATGCCCCCCACCCCCCGGGTGTGCCTGAGAAGGGCCTTCACCTGGACCACGGCCCAGGAGAGGGGACAGGACTGCCAGCCGAGGGAGGAGCTGGGGGAGGCCGACTCACCAGGAACCAGTAAAGGTTCATGACAGTGAGAAGCAGCAGGAGTGCGTTGAAGAAGAAGTAGAAGGGAATGTCAGGCACCGAGCGCAGGCTGCAGTGGCAGGTGGCATACAGGACCTTGAGTGGGAACCAGTAGAGGCGGAACCAGAACCTGTGGTGGGAATAACAGGTCAGGGAAGCTATGGGCAAGGGAGGGAGGGTGGGTGGTGGCCCCACCCAGTCTCTGCCCAATGCCCTCGGGCCTCATCCATCTGTCCCTGCTCCTCCTCACCCATCCTTGTCTGGCTGCCCCACCCTTATCTCCATTCCTGCTCTGTTCTTTCCCGCCAACCACACCCCATCCATCTCCCGATCCCTGCCAGGCCCCACCCCTTCCCACCAGCCCCTCCCTCCCGCCAGCTCACCAGCTGAGGCTGAAGCTGAGGCAGCCCAGGTCCGCAGCCAGGGCGTGCAGAGGGTGGTGGGAGCCGCCACGGGACTTGAAATAAACATTGAGCTTGGTGAACTCCAGCTGCACGTCGCTGATGTCGTGCAGGAAGAGCACCAGGATGCCCACGCTGTGGTACCTGAGAAGGGAAGCCGGGCGGAGAGGGGAGGGCAGGTCACACAGGGTCCAAATCCCTGCACGGAGGGCCCAAGACAGGCCCCTGGGGCACACCTTCCCTGCCTTTCGGAGCCACCCCTCTGGTCACATGCCCGGCCCGACCCCCCGAAGGGCCAGGTCAGCGGCAGCACAGACTGCACTTGCCAGGGGACAGCCCCCCGGGGTCCTCACTCACTGTGCCCAGGTGGCCAGGGGCCTGCCTGAAAGTCCTTTCTCTGATCCGTCCTCATTTCTGTGACCTCTGACCCACCATGACTGCTGACTCCCAGAGGCCAGGGCCGTTCTGTGTCCCGATCCCCCATACACTCGCCGGCATCCCCAGGCCTCTGGGATTTACCGGAACTTCGCTGTGGGCTGCAGGTGTCCCGGAAACGCAGTGCCTGCCCCCCCACCCCCCCAGGGTCTAAAGAAGCCTGAGGGCCGTCCCCCTCCCCCCACAGTGTTCCCCTTCCGCTGCCTGAGCCCAGGTCCTGAACTCGGCCTGGATGGGGCCATGGGTCTCCCTCACCAGGTCTGTCCCCACTTGGCCTTCCTGTTGTAAGACCTTTGCACGTGCTGTTCCCAGCACCTAGCGTGTACCTCCCGGCGCTGGCAGAGCCTTCCTTCACCTCCTGGTCTTTCTCACCTGTCACCCCTTCCGCCCGCCCCTCCGACACCTCACCACCCCAGCAGGCCTTCTCTTCTGACTTGGTTTTTCTCCATAGTTAATACCTTCAAACAAATTATTCTTTTCTTTCTTTCGTTTTCCTTTTCTGGGCGGTGGGGGCTGTTATCTGATTCTGTCCTGCAGAGCAGTGCTATCTACGGGTTTTCTAGAACAACAGGAAGGTTCTATGCCTGCATTACCCACATGGGAGCAACCAGCCAGATGTGGCCACTGAGCAGCTGAAATGCGGGTGGGGTGCCTGAGGGACAGATGTGTGATTTTTTGTTGTTGTTAATCCTCGCCCGAGGATATTTTCCCATTGATCTTTTTTTTTTTTAGAGAGAGTGGAAGAGAGAGGGCAAGACAGAGAGAAACACATCGATTGGTTGCCTCCTGCATGTGCCCTGACCAGGGCCCGGGTCAGGGAGGAGCCTGCAACCAAGGTACATGCCCTTGACCGAATCGAACCCGGGACTCTTTAGGCCACAGGCCAGTGCTCTATCCACTGAGCAAACTGGCTAGGGCAGAATGTGTGATTTTATTTAAGCTTAATTAATGTTGAAATAGACCCTTGTAACCAGCGGCTACTACATTGGAGGGTGCAGCTAGAGCAGTGAGGCTGACAGGAACCGCACAAGAGTGTAGACCTCGCCCTGGCTGGTTTGGCTCACTGGATAGAGCGTCGGCCTGGAAACTGAAGGGTCCCAGGTTCGACTCTGGTCAAGGGCATGTACCTTGGTTTCGGGCACATCCCCAGTAGGGGGTGTGTGGGAGGCAGCTGATCAATGCTTCTCTCTCATCAATGTTTCTAACTCTCTATCCCTCTCCCTTCCTCTCTGTAAAAAAGCAATAAAATATATTTTAGCCGAAACCGGTTTGGCTCAGTGGATAGAGCGTTGGCCTGCGGACTGAAAGGTCCCGGGTTCGATTTTGGTCAAGGGCATGTACCTGGGTTGTGGGCACTTCCCCAGTGGGGGATGTGCAGGAGGCAGCTGATCGATGTTTCTAACTCTCTATCTCTCTCCCTTCCTCTCTGTAAAAAAAAAAAAAAAAAAAAAAAAATCAATAAAATATATTTTGAAAAAATAATAAATAAAATATATTTTTAAAAAATTTTAAAAAAAATTTTAAAAAAGAGTGTAGACCTCATTTAGATTTTCTATCACCCATGTTAAAAAAAAAGAGAGAAATTAAAATAATATATTCTAATGAACTCCGTATACCCCAAATATTGTTATTTCAACATGTGATGGATGTAACACAGGCCTTGGCGAGGTATTTTTATTCCTTTGCTTGTGAAATTGGGGTGGATTTGAGAACAATCAGCAGGTCGTAGTTTGGAGAGGATCAGTGGCCACGTGTGGGCTCTCAGGCTGCAGGGTTATCTGCTCGTGGCTGTGCTCCCAGCAGCACCTGCCACATGGCGGGCGTTCAGGAAACACCTGCTACGTGACCTGGTCAAGGTGCCGTCCGGGTGGGGCTGGAGGGGGGGAGGGGTGGGGTGGGGCGGGGCTCCCTGCACCTTGTTCACCCCGTCCCTCTGAATCTCTCTGGGACGCTCCCCCAGGAACACCCCGATGCCTCCTCCCCCCAAGCACCAGCTCTGCCCTGTGCCAGCCTCCCGCCCTTGCTCATGCAATGCCCTCTGCCCTCCTCAACTCACCGGAAGGCATAGGAGGAGACAATGAGGACCAGGGTGACCACATGGTGGACGAGCATGACCACTGAGTCCTTGCGCCAGGCGTCCATGTACAGCGTGGCGTAGATGGAATGGCCATAGAAGCTTCCCTGCAGCAGATAGGCGGCCGCGATGTCCCGAGGCACGGCCATGCCTGGTGTCCAGTCTGGGGAGAGCCGGACCGAGTCATCAGGGCCCTGCAGGGCCTCCACACAAGGGACCCCCACACGCTCTGGAGCCAGGCGTGAGTCCCCCCCGTGCCGGGGCAGGCCACGTGTGTCTGCAGATGCACCGGCCACTGGTTTTCCATCCCCAATTCTCTACCTGTTCTTTTATTTAATAAGCATTATTTTCTAGAGCAGTTTCAGTTTTATGGAAAAAGGTGCTCCTACCCCTGATAGGATCAGTCCCTTGCAGGATTTCCCACTCTGCCCTGGGTGCCCTTCCCGTCTTCTCTTAATTACCAGGCCCGCTCCAGCCAGAGGGCACGTTCCTGTTCCAGCCGCCCCCCGCCCCCAGCAATTTTCCAACCGGATGGAGGCTGCTGCCCACCTCACGGTGCTGGCACAGCAGCTGAAGCAGAAGTAGTTTGCCCACTCAGGTCTCACCCCTTCTCGGCAACGCTGACACCCCCCTTTCTTCCCCGCCCATTACCAGGGCCAAGGGCTCTGCTCACTGGGCACTCCTCCTCTGCCCCACCCCTAACTCAGGGAGCCCCTGGAGCCCTAAGTTTCCTAGGCTCCACCATGCCCCTGCCTCACGATGACCCTGCATCTGTGCTCTGGCCACTCCTGCAAAGGAGATCCACATAGATCCCCATCCGGGGCCCCGCTCCGGCCCATGTCTTAGCTCACTTCCCCGGCCCCCCACTGCCCCTACCCAGCACTGCCCCAGCTCCTCCTGGCCTCCGACTGTGTTCCCAACTGTCCTCTCTCCCCGCGGGGCTCAAAGCCTGTGAACACACAGACCCTGCTACCCAGCAATTCCACTCCTAGGTGTGTGCTCAAGGGAACTGCAAATGGACTAGACAGGCCCTTGTACATGCATGTCCACGGCAGCACTAGTCACAGTTGCCAAAAAAGTGAAAACAACCCATCAATAAATAAAGGACAGGCAAAATGTGGTCCTTCCACACATGGACTATTACTCAGCCACAAAAAAGACAGACACACTGACACACTGTGTGGATGAACCCAGAAAACATGACGCCGAGCCCTAGTTGGTTTGGCTCAGTGGATAGAGCGTCAGCCTGCGGACTGAGGGGTGCCGGGTTCGATTCCAGTCGGGGGCACATGCCCAGGTTGTGGGCTCGATCCCTGGTGGGGGACGTGCAGGAGGCAGCTGATCAATGATTCTCTCTCATCACTGATGTTTCTATCTCTCTCTCCCTCTCCCTTTCTCTCTGAAATCAATAAAAACATATATACACACAAAACACGATGCTGAATGAAAGGAGCCAGAAACAACGGTCCACGTAAACTTTAACCTTCGTAACCATCTTCAAGTTCTGCATAAGGCACACTCACATTGTTGAGCAGCCATCCCCACCATCCCTCCCAGACCCCTTCCTGTTGTAAAACTGAAACTGTCCTTGCTGAACACCCCCTCCCCCAGGCCCTGTCTCTATGAATCTGGCTCCTCTGGGGCCTCCTAGAAGTGGACACAGTACTTGTCTTTTTGTGTCTAGCCAGAATGGTTACCTTTATGTTTCAAGCATTTTACCTAATAAAAGAAAGCAAAACTCCCCATGAATCAGATCTAATCTCCCCCCACTTTAACACGTCCAGGGGCCTCTCGAAGTTTGACAGCAAATCGGGAATGCTGCAGCTGGAGGCTCCCCCCGACCCCAACACACAAACTGCCAGGTGCCTCTGTCCCTCTTTTCAAGGAAAGCATGCAGAGCCTCGATGCAGAGTCCACTGTGGAAAGAGGACACCAGATCTTCCACCTATTACACCGGTCAGACTCACCATGGGTGAGCATGCCCCCTCCAGCCTCGGGCCCCAGATCTGAGGCGGGGGGCGGGGGGGGGGCATTTAATTCACCGTCCAGACGTCAGCTGCCCCTCCCCACCTGTTGAAGGGCCGGGCTTTGACCTGCTCACAACCTCCAGCCTCCTCTCCATACGTCCCACCTGCTGCTCTGGGGACTGGATATCACCCCCTCTCCCACCTCCAATATCAGGGCCTTGGGCTTCCCAAACCCAGCTCCTGGTCGCCCCTTTGACCCAACCCTACTGACCACCCACTTCACTGGGGACCCCAGACCCTCCTCTTTTACACCCATCTCTGGTTTGGCAGCAAATCCTACCAGCTCTGCCTTCAAAACATTTTTTCTTTTAAAAACATATGTTTTTACTGATTTCCCAGAGAGAGGAAGGGAGAGAGACAGAAACATCAACGATAACAGAGAATCTTCAATAGGCTGCCGCCTCCACGCCCCCTACTGGGGATCGAGCCCACCACCTGGGCATTTGCCCAGACCAGGAATTGAACTATATAACCTCCTGGTTCATAGGCCGACACTCAACCACTGAGTCACACTGTCCAGGCTAAAACATTTATCAAATCAACAACGTCCCTCCTCTGCTCAGTCCTGTCCTGGTTGGAGCCCCCACCTCTGCTCACAGCCCCCTGGTAAGTACCCTTTCTGCCCACCTGCCCTCCTCACACCCTGCCCTGGCCAGGTGAGCTTCTCTCTGCTCCTGATGCACCAGGAATGTGTTTCTTCCAGGTCTTCACTCAAAAGCCACCTTTGGTGGGGCTACCCCCATTGCTGGAGAGCACGCCCTCCCCTCAGAGACACCCCACTCCCCAAAGTGTTCGCATCAGCACCTATCGCTGGTAACAGATTTTATATTTCACCGTCTGGTGGGGGGCTTTCTCTGACCTGCTCACAACCTGGTACACAGTTGGTACTCAAAGAATGAGCCTTCAGAGAAGCAGGTAACTTGCAAGCAGGGTATCCTAGCATCATTATAAGAAGCCAGAGGCAACTCCATGCCTGAAATTTTAAGAGAGTTCAATTATGGTTCATTTGCATAAAGGAAAATTGAATGACAGCTAAAACTTCCCCTCTAGAAATTTACCACGTGGGAAATGCACATAGGAAAACGGCCATGTGGGCAGCACAATCCCATGAGGAGAGCTGGGTGCCCAGTAAACCCAGTGCTTGTTACCAGGACCCTGCTATGCAGGGGCCCCATGCCAGGCCCTCCTCCGGTGCCACCAGGCGCCCTCTCAGGCTGTTCATGTCACATGGCAGGAAGCACATCCATGATACACGGCCGGGTGGTCAGCATAAGAACAGAGGACCCCCTCCCCCATCACAGGCCATATTTTCTATACTGACCTGCTTGTTGGTGATAGAGGGCACTGCAGTGACCCTCCTGTCCATCCCACCCAGAGCCAGGCCTTGACCACCCCCACATCTAACCCAATCCATGGGTGCAGCCACTTCTCACCATCTGTATCTCTTTGCCAAGCTGATCTGAACCGCACTGGTCCCTCCCTTCCCCCCTGGGCCTTGCTACCATCCTCACCCAAGACTTTGCTATTTCAGCCCTGGCCAGTTGATGAGAGCATCACCCTGATACGCCAAGGTTGTAGGTTTGACCCCTAGTCAGGGCACATACAAGAATCAACCAATGAATGCATAAATAAGTGGAACAACCAATCGATGTCTCTCTTTCCCTTCCTCCCTCCCTCTCTCTCTAAAGAAAAAAAATAAAAGATTGCTGTCTCCACATGGCAGCCAGAGGAAGCGTTTTATAATCCATAAAGTATCCCATTTAGAAAACACTCCAACTCTTGCTACCCTGCTCTCTTGCTCACGCACCAAGCCTGTGCACGCCCCAGGGTCTTGCCTGTGCTGTTCCTGACACCTGGAGTGCCCCCCTGGACCCACGAAAGGGGTCACCCACTCTAGGATGCCTCCCTGAGCTGTAATACGTCCCCGGGGCCCCCTGACCACCCTTGTCTGGAGCAGACACCCAGAACGGGGTGGCTGATGAGTGCCAGCTCCCCATGTGCCCTTCTCCTCAGTGTTTAGAGCAGAACGATCCCTCGCCCCACTAGGGACCCACCGTAGAAGACAGAGGGCGGGTCGTGGAAGAAGGGGTAGTCAGTGCCGAAGAGCAGGTAGGCACTGTAGCTCCAGGTGCCCAGATAGAAGAGGAACTTCCAGGCGCTCTCAGGCATCTTGGCGGCATCTCTCGGCTGGAGGCGGCACCGCTTGGCCAGGGGCTGTGGGTGAGAAGATGGGTGGCCATCAGAGCGAGGAGCCATTCCTTCAGGGTGGGGAGACCAAGGCCCAGGGATTCCCCGAGCTGGGCAGTGTTGGGGAGGGGCCGTTTGATACCCACAGCGGCCTGGAGTAACCAGAGCCCACGTGCGCCTGCCAAGAACTAAACTTAGTGCCCAGCTGTCTGGCTGGGGTGTGAGAGGGGAGTGATGGGAAATGTGAGGGGCAGGCTATGAGGGCCCGGAGGCGGGCATGTGAGCGTAAAGCGAGGGAGGCAGCGGGTCGCACAGGGGAGTCAAGCGGCTTGGGGGTAAGGGAGCTGGGGTGTGACACACAGCAGGGATTAAGGAAAAGGTGTGGAGGGGTGTAGCTGTGAGCCTGTGGAGAGAACATGGAGGGGAACATGGGAACACCTGGGGGGGGGGGCGTGGAGGGCTGGAACCGCAGGAGATCCTCTGGGGCAGAAATGTGAGGGAAAGGGTGCCTCAGAGGAGGAATCTGGGGAGACCAGAGAGGAACCAGGGCCTGGGGAAGATGGAGTGGGTAATTGGGGGAGGACATGAGGAAATTCTCTCTTTTGTCCAAGAGATAATGAGGCAAGGAAAGGGCAGCACAGTGAGACGGGGAAGACATGAGGAAGGTGGGGGCGTGCAATGATGAGGTCCTGAGGGATTGTACTCTGGGGTCCAGGGTGGGGCGGGGCCTCAAGCTCCTCAGGGGCGGAGCTCTAGAGCTGTGGGGCCAAGTCCCGCCCCCCTCCCAGAGGCTGAGGGGGCTGGAGCAGCTCCAGTTGTCATAGAGACAGCCAGAGCCAGCTCTGGTAACCCTTGGCAACCAGGCTGCTGCCAAAAAGATGAGCTTTGGCGGCCGCCGCAGCCCCTCCGCCTATTCCTGGGAAGGGCGAGCCTCGAATTGGGGCGAGAGGCTGAGGGAGGGCGGACCGGGAAGGAAGCCCGACCTCCAGGGATTCCAAAAGTCAGGGGGCACCTGACCTTGCTGTCCCCGCCCAGCTCCCTCAGGAACATGGGAGGGGAGCCCATTCCACCTTGATGGTCCCAGAGCGACCACATCCCCCCAGGAGCACTGGCCTTCATCCCCCTGGACTCCCCACTTCCAGCTGGAAATTGGGAAGGTGGGGGAGCAATAAAGCCCAACCGGGACCAGGGCTAACTATGGGGGGACACTGTCATACTGCCTCCGCCTCCCTGAGCAGGGTGACAGCCAGGGTCTCTCCCACGTGGGTGATGTGGGGAGGCGGAGGGGACAAGAGCGGCCAGACAACAGCCTCTTCCCCGCCCGCCAGCAGAGAAAGACCCCTTTGTTGGTGCTGGGCGCTCTGTCCCTGCACCCCTGCTACATCCAGCCAGACTGGGGCGCGATGACGCCAGCTGGCCCAGGAGGGAGTCGCAGCTGAGCTCGGGGGCCAGGCACCTTCCCAGCAGCTCCCAAAGCAGACCCCTCCCCAAGATGGGAGGGAGGCCAGGCGCCAATGTCACCTCATGGTCACTCTCGAGCCGGGCGGCGGCTCTCCAGGCTGAAAACGGGGCATTTCCATCGCCTCTCGACCACCCGCGTGGCAGATGAACCCAGGTCTTGGTCTCCCTGGAGGCGGGCGCTGACTCCAGACAGACGCAAGGCAGCGACTGGGCCACTCTGACCCTACCCTGTAGCCACAGACAAGGGGGCTCTGCCGGCTGCACTGACCCTGGACCCGCTCCAGCTTGGGCTCCAAGCCCCCGCCCTCCCTCGCATGGCCCGGAGTTCCAAACGCAGACCGACCCTGTGCCACGAGGCCTCCATGGCTATACACTGAGGCCTCCTGTCCCGCACTGACCCGAATGGGTCGTGCTCCGGTTCCCCCACATCACGAACACCCCACCCGTGTCAGGGACCCAACATCGCGGGTTTCCCGGTCCGGCCACACCCCCGCATCCATCCCCACCCCCATCTCGCACTGACAGAAAAGGGCGCGGGGCGGCCCAGGACTCCGCACCCAGAGCTCCTACAGCCCGAGGCCCCCACGTTCTGGGACCCAGCTCGCAGAGACAGAAAGGGGTGCACAGCGGCCCGGGGTCCCCCAGCCCATGTCCGCGTCCCCAGCCGCACTGACCCGAAAGAGGCGCGTGGTGGCCGCTGAGCGCAGCACGGTCCAGCCGAGCGCGCCGAGCGCCAGCAGCAGCAGCTCGGGGGGCGCCAGGTGCGCGTGCTCGGTCAGGCCCCGGAGCGCCAGCCCCCAGCCGCAGTCCACGCAGCCCCGCGCCGCCGCCACCGCGCTGCCCCAGCTGCGCTGCACGAGCTGCGCGTAGCTCGGCATGGGCTCGGGCCCCGCCGGGCCCGCCGTGGTTGCCGCCGCCGCCATGCCGCTCGCTGGCCGGCCGTCTCCACCGCCTGCGCCCGCCCGCCCGCCCGCCGGAGCTGCGCGCCCCGCGTCACGCGCCGCAGCCGGGCGGGGGGCGCCGGCCGGAGCCCTGGGACAGAGGGGCGGGGCAGACGCAAGCTCCGCCTCCGCGGGGGACGCTGGGCCCGGCGCGGCGGCCACGATCCGGGGCTCGCAGGTGCTGGGTGCCCAGAGGCAGCGGCAGGGACCACCAGCGGAGAAGTCCCGGTGTTGTCGCGTTGCGTCCCATTTTGCAGCAGAGGAAACCCATTTTCGGCCCCATTTTCCAGCGGAGGAAACCCAGGCGCAGAGACTCCAGGGCTCTTCCCCCCGCCCCACCCTCCCCTATGCTGTGCCCTCGGCAAGGGGCGAGGAGGCACAGCAAGCAGGCACTCTTTCCTCCCAGCCCTCCACCCTCAGACCGCACCATTCCCTGAAGCCAAGCACATGCACCCGGTGCATCCAGCGCCTCACCACAGCCAGTAGGTTTACGGCAAGTGAAGGCCTCTGCTCTCCTTCCCGAGGACACTGACCACTCCAGGGTGAAGAAACACCCGATGAAGATTCTGCCCGCTGACCCAGGGTTCCTGGACCAGGGACCCGAGTGTGGGCTCAGGCTCGCCCCTCCGCACCTACCCAGGATTCAGGGGTCTCAAGTGAGGTAGCTTGCAGGCATCGGGGTCCCCTGGAGGAGTGGCCGGGGGCCTGAGAGGTTAGGCCATGTCTGAAGGCCACCTGATGGGCTTCCATGACCCTGAAGACCTGGCAGGACTCCCCTGCAGCAGGTTAACTCGGGCTGTGGGGAGGCCAAGGGAGTGGGTGCCCACTTGGGGGGCGGGTACTCAGGATGGATCAAGACCAGGCTGTATTGGGACCTCCCCAGGTAACCTTCCACTCTCCACTGATGGGCCCTTTGCCTGAAGCCCCCAACAGCCATCACTGAGGGCACTGACAGCACCCATCCCAGTCCCCAGGACTCCCACCCACCTGTGCCCTCCTTTACCTCCACCCGGATGTTAACCCCTAGCCTTTGAGGTGCAGAGTGCAGGCATCAGTGTGGGCTCTGCAGGAGCTAGGCTAGGTCCCATGCAGCCACCAGCCTGATCTGACCTTCAGGTATACAGGTGAAAACAGGTCGGTGTCAAAGGGCCCTCATTTCTTCACCTTATTCCTCCGACCAGTCCTGCAGCACATTCTGTGGCCCCACCTTCAGATGTTCTTGAATCCAGCTACTTCTCTACACCTGCACAGTCTCATGTGGTCCTGGGCCATCTCCTGCCTCCTGACACCTTGGCTTTCTCCTTACCCCGCACAGAGGTCAGCAGGAACCTTCTCTGCTCACAGTCCTCATGGTTTCCATTACTCACAGTGAAAGCCCAACTCCTGTGACTCACCACCTGCCCTCCTGCCCTCCTCTCCACCTTGCTCCCTCCATTACAGCCACACCGGGCTCCTCCCTGGTCCTCTAATACCTCAGGCACACTTCTGCCTCAGGGCCTTTGCACTGGCTGTTCCCTCTGCCCAGAATATTGTTCCCCTAGGTAATGGCAGGGTACCTCCTCCTCTAACTTCAGGGTTCACCTACAAATGTCACTTGCTCAGTGTACCTCCCTGACCCCCCCCCACCCCAAGTCTTCTTCTTAGCACTTGTCACCATCTGTCCTGCTGTACCTCCTACTATTTTTGAATGTGCACGTGGACAGGGGAGAGGGGGGGAGGGGAGTTCCACCCATCCCATTGGATGACTAATTCCACAGCCAACCTGGCAGGCAGAGGCTCAGAGGTCCTGGGCTGGCTGGATATGCCCCCATAGGTCCAGCTCAGCTTGTGGAGCAGCCCTGGGTCTTCCCAACCACCCAGCACTATCTGGTGTCCATCAGTAATGGGAGAGGGCCTGCCCAGCAGCCCAGCCCAGCCTCTAGTTTCATTCTGGCAGGGCCCAGATAGAAGGCTACCAACAGGTGGGTGCAGGGCAGGAATGGAAAGTAGCTCTTGGTGCTGGCAGTTGGAAACCAGGGCTCCCAGGCACCAGGGCCTGGTAAGGGGCTGCTGAAGTCCCATGGCTGGTGCTGCTTTCCTGCCCCAACTGAGAGGGCAGGCCTCCTCTCTCCCCACTGATGCCCCTGCCTGGGGAGGCCTTCTCTGCACCTCTCCCCGGCTAAGCTCCACAGTCAGGGAAAGGCTAGGGGCCAGCTCTACTGAAGGGGGTCCCTTGTTCTGTGTCCTGTCCTGGCAACCAGGGACTGAGTTTGGGTAGCTACCTACGGCAGATGAGGCCAGACACTGGGAACTCAAGTATCTTATCTTCTTCCTGGGAAGGAACCAGAGATTGGTCCAGGGACAAAGGCCAAGAAACCCTGTCCAGCTCATGGACCCCAGTATGGCCTCAGGGCCTTTGTATGGACTATTCCTACTACCTAAGATGCTTGTCCCCCAGAACCTGGCCTGGCAGCAACTTCTTCTTCTTTTTTTTTTGAAGACTTTAAACTTTTATTAAAAGACTTTTCTGAATCACTTCTTTTGTAGTTTACACTTTTGCTGGTTTTTATAAAATAGGGAAAGACTATAATATTTCCAAACTGATACCTTTAGCAACACATCAATGTCATAGCATTTTAAAATGTAAAAGAAAAGCCAAAACATGAGCCCTAATATTACAGAATAATCAAAGCAAGCTTCATTTAAGATATTCTGTAAGTGCTCGGCCAGTGTGGCTCAGTGGTTGAGCGGCATCCCATGCACCAGGAGGTCACAGGGTTCGATTCCGGTCAGGGCACATGCCTGGGTTGTGGGCTCAATCCCCAGCAGGGAGGAACGCAGAAGGCAGCCAATAGGTGTTGATGTTTTTCTCTCATGGATGTTTCTATTTCTCTCTCTCTAAAAATCTATTTTAAAAAATATAGTTTAAAATATGATATTCTGGCCTGGCTGGTGTGGGTCAGTGGTTGAGCATCAATCCATGAACCAAGAGGTTCCTGGTTAGATTCCGCATCAGGGCACATGCCCTGGTTGCAGGTCCGATCCCAGTAGGGCGTACGCAGAAGGCAGCTGATGGATGTCTCCCTCATCGATGTTTCCATCTCTCTGTGCCTCTCCCTTCCTCTCTCTAGGCAGCAACTTCTTATTGTTTGGGTGGACAGAGGCCTCCTAACCCACCTACCCACCCCTCCCTGTTGTCCTGCTTCCTCTTATCTCCAAGGGCAAACATTATGCCTTTCTCTCTCCACCCTTGTGCTCCAGCACCCAGGGCCCTAATCACAGCAGGTCTCAAACTTGACTGACTCCAAGGAGCAGGGGCCTGGGGAGGCGGATGTTTACTTCCACAAGGACCCCATACACTCCTTCCTTGCTTAGCCAAGCTGAGGCTTGAGCACTTCCAGCCCCCTCACCACCTACCGACCACCTGGAGGTCCTGGGTTTGAACCCTGTTGCTCCTCTTGATGGCTGTGGCCTCTCTGTGCCTGTTTCCCTGGATGCCAACTGGGCTCGGGGGACACAGCTGTGCCTTCAGCTCAGCAGTACGGGGCAGCTGTTCTAAGGAGCAAAGGAGTCCCTACAGCTGCTGTTCATAGAGCCTGGTCTCCAGGACCCCGTGCCAGGCCCCTCCTGTCCCAGCCTTGGTTCCCAAACGCCCCTCGCAAAACGGCTAGCGCAAACATGGTTCAGGTGGGGAGCCCGGAGTGGAGACGTTTATTGACAGAAGGGGGTTGGGCTTCCAGCCTCTGCTCTGACCAGCCCAAGTGAGGGAGGATGGTAGAAGGCGGGTGCCCAGCGGGGAGGGCAGCACGGCTGGGCCTCGCCTTCCCACTGAGGAAACTGCATCTGGGGCCGGCCTCAGGCGCTGGGAGTATATTGCAGCACTAGCCGGTCAAAGTCATTTTCCTTCAACACGAAATGGGGGCAAAAGAGAAAGGAAACACATGTGAGTCAAAACCTGAGTTCCAAGCCCTCCCTGTGGGCCTGGGGGGTCTGGGGCTCACCTTGGCCTGGTACTCCTTGATAAAGGGGTGGAACCTGTGTGCATCCTTTAGCTGGGACAGGTAGCGGTTTGTCACCTGTGGGGAAGGTGAGACTGAGGTTAACTGAACACAGGGACCCCCTGTGGCTCTGGCCTGCAGGGCAGGCGTGGGGGCGGGGGGGGGGGGGGGTAAGGGCCCCTCAGCACACTCCCTGCCAGGAGCCCGGATCTCCCAACATGTCCTCCATTGCCCCACCCTGGAACAGTGTCCAGGCTTGGCACATGAATGGGGGTGTACCACAGTGTTCACGGGAGTGGACTACACAGGGACCTGAAGCCCTGACAGAGGGTGGGGGGCCAGGAAGAGTGGAGGTAGGTCAGGGGGAATGGAGTTGGGAAGGAAGATGAGTCTGAGGAACCCCGAGGCCTGGGGACTGAAACATAGGCCCCAGCAGAACCTTTGCTGGCAGCCTTGCCCCACCCGCTAGGCCAGGCCTGACTGTATGGGGCTGGGGCATTTGTCTGTCTGTCTCCCTGAGACTAGGAGTCTGGGTCTGTTTCTACGGTGCCTGGAAGGGTCAGCCTAGCTGTCCTGCACCACCCTAGCTGAGGCTGCCCAAGATCTCTTCCGTAAGGGCCAGGAAGCGACTACCACGGATCCCTGGCTGGGCCCTGGCCGGCTGGGCCAGTCACCAGCCACCTAGTCAATGAGCAGTGCTCCAGCAGCCTCCTCCCGCCCGACCCGCAGACAAGGTGGGGATCACTCCCTTGAGCCCCTTCTCCACCTGTTGCCTACCCCCCACCCTGAGGTAGCACAGGTCAGGGTCCCAGCCCTGCTGCCCTCTCTGAGCCTCAGCCCACTTGTTCATAGGACCCATGGGACCAGGTGACTTGTGGCCCTGGCCAGGGTGGGGGTCCTGGGAGAACAGCTGCAACTCCAACCTCCCAGGCCCCAATGGCAAGTGTACCTGCCCATGGGGAGTAGTTTTTTGCCCAAACCCCAGGCCAACCCTGAAGTCCAGACCTTGAGGCCCCGAACTTCCTCTGGAGCTGAGGCCACACCA